CCCAAATCGATATATCTAATAATATGTAGCACTCACCTGGCATTAAGGGGTCCAGCCCTTTGATGGGTGCCGTGACCAGGTAGAAATGCTCATTTGGATGGAGAGGAATTCTGACATTTGGTTCAGACTTTGTCCCTACTTCTCTTGCCCACTGCCAACATACAAACATTGACAGATTATATAAATAACTTGATGATGAGAGCAACTAGTAGTCCTTTATAGTAATCCTCACTAAATAATTGTTACTGACTAGATACAATACAAATGTTGTATATATAAATATTTATGGATGGGTTAGGATTTTTTTGGTAGGTTACCGGTATGATGATAAAACTGGGGACGATATGTCAATGTTACAATGTAAAAATTCTGATATGGTGTCTCGTGACAGGAGAACAAGACAATCATTAGGTACAATTACACTTCACCATTTATACCAACTCACCAGACCAGCACAGTTGACAAAGTATTCACAGTCTATATCACCATGGGATGTTGTCACTTGGGATACACGACCATTTTTGGTGTGAATTTTATCTATTTTCACACCCTCCATGATCTTTACACCTGAGAAAAAAGGAGTACACTATGAAACTATAAAAAGATTTCACTGAAACCACAAATATTACTGTATCTCAATATACACTACAAGGACTGGTCATTTAAAATGTAATGTACTCCCATTGCTCTCGTAATAAATATTGTATGAAATGAAAACATATTCAATGATATAGAAGACCCAAAGTCTCATATCTACAGCACCTAAATGTCTCTTTTTATGTAACATTATAAAGGTAATTGAGTTACTTTATTTTGGATAGATGTTACAACACATTACCATTTGTAGAAATCACGTTAAACTGAGGCGGTATACTTGTGAACAGTGATAACTCCATTCAAGATTTACATGTGGCCACTAGTACCTTTCTCCCTAGCGATGGAGGTGAAAGCTGTCACAAGATCTGGCGGAGTGACCGCTCCATCATCAGGCACCCACAGTGCCCCCTAGTGGTAAAACAGAACAAGGTTACCGCGAGCGGTATATAATACGCCCGTCACACATTGAATGAGCAGTTGTTTGTATGATTGAAATATATGAAGTATTTGTGAGTAATTGATATTGAAAGAGAAATCATTCAACATAACTGGTAGATCAATGAGTGCAATTCAACATCATGGAACACATGCATCGCATTAATGAAACCAAGGGGAATAACTCCAATAATTACGGTCGGATAATGGCGGTTATCGAACTTGTCCGAGGTTTCATGGTAATTAACCTTGTTGTGAAGTTTGAAGTTAATCCGTTAATAATTAATTGAGATATCGAGCGGACACTGTTTCGACAAGTCGATAAAGGGGCATAACTCCATAAATTATGGTCGGATAATGGCGGTTATCGAACTTGTCCGAGCATTCATGGTAAATTAACCTTGTTGTGAAGTTTGAAGTTAATCCGTTAATAATTACTCGAGATATCGAGCGGACATCGTTCGCATGACCGCCCCCCGCCCGCCGCCCACCCGCCCGCCCGCCCGCTCACGTGATAACATAATACGTCCCCGTCTTCGACGGGCGTATAAAAATGAAAATTTCCAAATTGGCTTACACAACACACAAAACTCATTAAACATCCCTTCGTTAAGAACAGCAAGGCATGTTTCTTGCTGATAAGTACCTGTAGCTATATGTTATTGTTCAGCTCATATTTTCCAAGGACACTTCAAAGAGCATGAAACATAGGTTATTTACAATAAAAAAAGCTAAAAGCAACAGTTAAATGAAAGGGGAGTGTATTATTTAAGCAATGAAATACTTTCAGTTGGTATTTATAATCAATACGAATGCCAAGAGGAATAAAACTTTATCGGAAAATTTGAACTTTTTTATTTACTTTTATATAGACTCTGTCAACTGAAAGCAGTTCATTGCCTCCTTTTACCATTTTTGGAGTACAATGTATTTAACATTTGTAATTATTAAGATTTCACTTTTTTAAATTGAACTATGCCTTTTTCAAATAAGTGAAAGTCATCTTCCAGAATCACCGTTATCCAATTTTTAGTTTATTAAGACATTATAACAAAGACAATGTCAACAAGGCAATCCATAGTCCTTCACCGTCTATGATTTCTTTATATACTGAGCTGTGGTCCTATCTCAGGACATGGTTCACAATGACATACTTCTTGTAATCCCCACTTCATCAGTCAAGCATGCATATTTGCATACCAAATCTGGATACTCCAGGTGAAATAATAAAGAAGATTCGAACCTGACAACTTTCTAAAAAAAGTGACCTACTTTTTGTACTTGAAACTACATTATTTGACACTTTGCAATCCCAAGATGTACTTACATACCCAATTTGGTTTCCTGGTGAAACAGTATAGAAGATATAACCTGGAAAAACTTTTTTCAAAAGTTGAGGTCAAACGTCAAACCATAGGTCACAGTGACCTATTTCTACTTTTTGTACCCGACACTCCGAAATCCCAAGATGTACTTGCATACCAAATCTGGTTACTTCAGGTAAAATAGTATAGAAGATATGCCCTGGACAAACTTTTTTCAAAAGTTGAGGTCAAACGTAAAACCATAGGTCACAGTGACCTATTTCTACTTTTTGTACCCGACACTCCGAAATCCCAAGATGTACTTGCATACCAAATCTGGTTACTCCAAGTGAAATAGTATAGAAGATATGCCCTGGACAAACTATTTTCAAAAGTTGAGGTCAAACGTAAAACCATAGGTCACAGTGACCTATTTCTACTTTTTGTATATAGTATAGAAGATATGCTCTGGACAAATGTTGGGGACATGATGTGGAATTCGGACGAATGGACAGAGTGCAAACCTATAGTCCCCCAGGGAACTAGTGGAGGACTATCAATTAAACCATGGCATTCATAGCTGATGTAAATGTCAACTGAATTCAAAAGGGCAAACATGGCAGAATGATATGGTGGCACTTCCATTCAACTTTGGAAAGTATTGAAATGAAGCTTGTTTACAAATCAAACCTTTAAATCATCCGTTCTGATCCAGGGACACAGCTTTCCAGCCTCTTCTGGTGAGATCAGGTGGGACTCTATACCAGTGGCTCTATAACAAGTCAGTTGTTTTCCATAGATAATCATATAGTCCATCTATCAACAACATGATGCATGTTCACACCAACACCCAATAATAAACATATTATTGATCATTTTATCATTTAATATATTTCAAAACAAAAATTCTACTTTTGAATGCAACAGCTAGTCATTTTATCAATATTTGATAAGTTATCATATTTCCCACGAAAAACTTACTTTGAAAATGTGACTTTAATTTAACTAATCTATTAGTGCTAAATTAAATTTGAGGCAGGTACTTAGGCAAGATGAATATTTTCTAAAATGCCAGGTAGATATCACATTAAAATACAAATTGGATTGTGGCATTCTCAATGTACAACTATATGTATATATATATATGCAGATTATGCCAAACATCAGACTTGAGCCAGGAACACATTTGTTTTATAAATTTCTTAATCTTTTGTGGAAACTATCATCCGGAAGCCAATAGCTAAGAAGATTGTGCCATCCTCCTTCGGCTTAAACATATGTTACTTATGACAGCTTAGGACCAAGGGGAACCTACACATATTTTTTTTAAAAGATCCCTCAAGTACTTCTGGAGAAATAGTGATAACAAACTTTCACTATCAAAATCCAAGATGGCTGCCTGTCGGCCATGTTGTTTATCCGATCAGTCTCAAAAATTGCCCTGCACAGTTAAGGACCGAGGGGAACCTACAGATAAAATTTGAGAAAGATCCCTCTGGTAGTTCTTGAGAAATAGTGATAACAAACTTTCAATATCAAAATCAAAGATGGCTGCCTGTCGGCCATGTTGTTTTTCCGATTAGTTTCAAAAGTTGCCCTGCACAGCTAAGGACCAAGGGGAACCTACATATAAAATTTGAGAAAGATCCCGTTGGTACTTCTTGAGAAATATCGATAACAAGCATTGTTTAAGGACGGGCGACGGACGACGGACGAATGGACCACGGCTGACCACGGACGCAGGGTGATTTGAATAGCCCACCATCAGATGATGGTGGGCTAAAAATATGGAACAGGTAACTTGCACCGGTACAATCATGATAATATGTATCCTGAAACTTTTCTCAGAATCTGATTGCTTTCCTGTTGAGAAAAGTTTCCTCATCCAGATGACAATGAGAAAATTTCACATGATAACAGACCAGATGGTAATACCTATTGACATGCTGCCTTTGTAGGCAACACAATTAAATTGGAGTGTTAATGTTTAATCCAAAACATTTCTAAAGACACCAGAAAAAGTAGGTGCACCAGGATGTTATTACTTTTTTACTATGATAATCAGGAAAACAATTTACTGTCTGGATTGAATTAAACAAATACTGAATAGAAATTCAGTTGCATTTTATTTGGAAAATTTCTTATTCTAGATATTTGAGATTCCACATGGACTGTCTTCTAACATTCTAGACGACAATAAATGATTTCTGCTAATTAATATTCCCTTTTAGCTAAGAACCCTATTTATTAAAACACTAATACTTACAAGGCAATAGCATTTTTTCTCTGTAGAAATGTCAATCTGTCTTGAGTCTGTGCTACAAAAACACTGCCACATTCTTTCCATCCTGAAAAATAAACACCATTTATAGATTATGGAGAGCATGCCATTTAAGCTTTATTCGTGTACCCACTAATCAACCAGATTGGTAGTTAAGCATCCTTCCTTAGCTCACTATCCCTACAGATTGACAGTTAAGCATCCTTCCTTAGCTCAATATCCCTACAGATTGACAGTTAAGCATCCTTCCTTAGCTCAATATCCCTACAGATTGATAGTTAAGCATCCTTCCTTAGCTCAATTTCCCTACAGATTGACAGTTAAGCATTATTCCTGTACCCACTAATCATACAGATTGATAGTTAAACATTCTTCCTTAACTCACTATCCCTACAGATTGACAGTTAAGCATTATTCCTCAACTCACTATCCCTACAGATTGACAGCTAAGCAATATTCCTGAACTCACTACCCCTACAGGTTGACAGCTAAGCAATATTCATTAACTCACTTCCCCTACAGGTTGACAGCTAAGCAATATTCATTAACTCACTTCCCCTACAGGTTGACAGCTAAGCAATATTCATTAACACACTACCCCTACAGGTTGACAGCTAAGCAATATTCATTAACTCACTTCCCCTACAGGTTGACAGCTAAGCAATATTCATTAACTCACTATCTCAACCGATTGATAGTTAAGCATTATTCCTCAACTCACTATCCCTACAGATTGACAGTTAAGCATTATTACTTAACTCACTATCCATACAGGTTGATACTTAGTCATTATTCATTAACTCACTACCCCTACAGATTGATAGTTAAGCATTATTCCTAACTCACTATTCCTTCAGATTGACAGTTAAGAATTATTCCTCAACTCACTACCCCTACAGATTGATAGTTAGTCATTATTCCTCAACTCACTATTCCTACAGATTGATAGTTAAAAATTATTCCTCAACTCACTACCCCTATAGATTGATAGTTAAGAATTATTCCTAACTCACTTTTCCTACAGACTGATAGTTAAGCATTATTCCTAACTCACTTTCCCTACAGATTGACAGTTAAGCATTATTCCTGTACCCACTTATCATACAGATTGATAGTTAAACATTCTTCCTTAACTCACTATCTCTACAGATTGACAGTTAAGCATTATTCCTGAACTCACTACCCCTACAGGTTGACAGCTAAGCAATATTCATTAACTCACTACCCCTACAGATTGACAGTTAAGCATTATTCCTCAACTCACTATCCCCACAGATTGACAGTTAAGCATTATTGATAGTTAAGCATTATTCCTCAACTGACTATCCCTACAGATTGACAGTTAAGAATTATTCCTAACTCACTTTCCCTCCTGATTGACAGTTAAGCATTATTCCTAAACTCACTATCCCTGCAGATTGACAGTTAAGCATTATTCCTCAACTCACTATCCCTACAGATTGACAGTTAAGCATTATTATTTAACTCACTATCCCTACAGGTTGATACTTAGTCATTATTCATTAACTCACTACCCCTACAGATTGATAGTTAAGCATTATTCCTTACTCACTATTCCTTCAGATTGACAGTTAAGAATTATACCTCAACTCACTACCCCTACAGATTGATAGTTAGTCATTATTCCTCAACTTACTATTCCTACAGATTGATAGTTAAGAATTATTCCTCAACGGACTACCCCTATAGATTGATAGTTAAGAATTATTCCTAACTCACTTTTCCTACAGACTGATAGTTAAGCATTATTCCTAACTCACTTACCCTACAGATTGACAGTTAAGCATTATTACCCAATAGTCTATATAAATTATAATTAGTCATTTTTGACTGTTTCTGGCCTTTTGTCCAATTTCGGCTGTATTCGTCCAATTTCGGCTGTAGGGGTGAAAGGGTCAAAACTGTTTTCCCGGTCAGAGCGAACTGTTACCCGGCGCGAATTCGATGCGCAGAAATCCCCCCTCGAGAACCTCGTTCAAGCGTTTCGGTGACCGCAACTCAGTGTTGAAGCAATGGCAACATTGCATGCAGCATTGATACTAATTTTTATTTGGTAATAAAACAATTGTTTCATGGTTATTTTGGGAACAGTCAAAACTATCATCCCTCGGTAGGGGGAATCCCTGTGGAACTGTTTGCCCTTGGCCTAGCGGCCTCGGGCAAACAGTTCCCCTTATTCCTCAACTCACTATCCCTACAGATTGACAGTTAAGCATTATTCCTCAACTCACTATCCCTACAGATTGATAGTTAAGCATTATTCCTGAACTCACTACCCCTACATGTTGACAGCTAAGCAATATTCATTAACTCACTATCCCTACAGATTGACAGTTAAGAATTATTCCTAACTCACTTTTCCTACAGATTGATAGTTAAGAATTATTCCTAACTCACTACCCCTACATGTTGACAGCTAAGCAATATTCATTAACTCACTATCCCTACAGATTGACAGTTAAGAATTATTCCTAACTCACTATCCCTACATATTGACAGCTAAGCAATATTCATTAACTCACTACCCCTACAGATTGATAGTTAAGAATTATTCCTTTACTCACTTCTCCTACAGACTGATAGTTAAGCATTATTCCTCAACTCACTATCCCTACAGATTGACAGTTAAGCATTATTCCTTAACTCACTATCCCTACAGATTGACAGCTAAGCAATATTCATTAACTCACTATCTCTACAGATTGACAGTTAAGCATTATTCCTCAACTCACTATCCCTACCGATTGATAGTTAAGCATTATTCCTTAACTCACTATCCCTACAGATTCACAGCTAAGCAATATTCATTAACTCACTATCCCTACAGATTGACAGTTAAGAATTATTCCTAATTCACTTTTCCTACAGATTGATAGTTAAGAATTATTCCTAACTCACTATCCCTACAGATTGACAGCTAAGCAATATTCATTAACTCACTATCCCTACAGATTGACAGTTAGTCATTATTCATTAACTTACTGCCCCTACAGATTGATAGTTAAGCATTATTCCTAACTCACTACCTCTACAGATTGACAGTTAAGCATTATTCCTCAACTCGCTACCCCTACAGATTGACAGTTAAGCGTTATTCCTCAACTCACTATCCCTACAGATTGACAGTTAAGCTTTATTCCTCAACTCACTACCCCTACAGATTGACAGTTAAGCATTATTCCTCAACTCACTATCCCTACAGATTGACAGTTAGTCATTATTCATTAACTTACTGCCCCTACAGATTGACAGTTAAGCATTATTCCTAACTCACTACCTCTACAGATTGACAGTTAAGCATTATTCCTCAACTCACTATCCCTACAGATTGACAGTTAAGCTTTATTCCTCAACTCACTACCCCTACAGATTGACAGTTAAGCATTATTCCTCAACTCACTATCCCTACAGATTGACAGTTAAGCATTCTTCCTCATCTCATTACCCCTACAGATTGACAGTTAAGCATTATTCCTCAACTCACTATCCCTACAGATTGACAGTTAAGCTTTATTCCTCAACTCACTACCCCTACAGATTGACAGTTAAGCTTTATTCCTCAACTCACTACCCCTACAGATGGACAGTTAAGCATTATTCCTCAACTCACTATCCCTACAGATTGACATTTAAGCATTATTCCTCAACTCACTATCCCTACAGATTGATAGTTAAGCATTATTCCTAACTCACTTTCCCTACAGATTGACAGTTAAGCATTATTCCTTGACTCCCACTATCCATTTCTATGCCTTTCCAAGTCAGTTTAAAGGCAAAACAATCCTCCTTTTATTTGTGCAGTTAATTGAGCTACTGATCTCCCCCAAAAAAGAACAGAAATGAACAAATAATTTAAATTTGTTCTTGATAACATTTCATATTCTCTTATCAATTTAACACAAATAGTGAAACTTGACAATGACTTCCTTTTGCATATTAGGTCACATTTGTACTAAATCAACCATCACTTGTAGAACTAATTTGTTTGGAACACTTGGGTTCGGCGTATGTTCTTTGTCATCTTCTAAACCTTTTTGTTGGCTTTCCTAAAAACCTCTTGTTGATATGATCTCTATATGACTTTTGATGTTACATCAACATATCCTTACCCCTGGCCTATTCCGTCTTTGCGTTTTGCAGAGTTATCTTCTCTTGAGAGCAGGTATTGAATGTTACGTCATTTGTTTTATGAGAGTAACGTCACCAATTTTTGAGAAAACGACGTATTTTTCACACCCAAACCAATGACGTATCAATCAATACCTGCTCTCAAGAGAAGATAACTCTGCAATATGCAGACTGAATTACAGATTTGTAAGCTTGTACTTGTAGGCTTAGCCTGCAGAACCTGTTATACGTGTTCAAGAAGGGATTGAGGGTAAGCTTAAATTACCTATCCTGTTGCACTTGTTCAATAAGATTTGAGAATAACAATCCTTTAGCATTTGTCCAATGAAATACTGAAAATAAGATGCTTACCCACTCCGTGACTTTTGTCTAGCTGTTTGTACAGCTGTCTGCTGTAGGCCACCAGCTGTGACCCTTCCACTTCATCCTTGGCCTGACCAACCATTCCAGCAGAATGCCATGTGGTACCACAAGTCAGTCTACAAAAACAAGTGTAGGAATAGTTTACTTTACGTTTGACTGGATTTTGATTCATATGAATTTAACAGTCTGACAATATAAAAAAGAACATGTTCTACAGATCAACCAGACAGTTGTAAAGTAATTTGTAGCCCAAAGTAAGCATTGGTAGAAAGCAATGAGTATACTCATGATAAAGTGGATAAAAAACAATCTATGACCTAAACATGGATACGAAGCATCAATTAATCCAGTCAATGACATAAATGAAAGGAATTGGTAACTACATGGCCATGGCATGTGTAGATAGCAGTGGGTTAACCATAATCAGTGTTGGTACAAAGCTTAGAAAGTAAACGATAACCGACAGTGACAGTGTGGATAGAAAACAATGGCTAACCTACTACGAAGATAGACAGCAATCAAAAACCCATTTACAAAGTTAGTCATTGCATGGATAGAAAATAAGGCAATGGGTTTTCTCGCACCTCAGATATAGATATCCTACGAAGTACGTCATACCCTGTGCTGGATTTTTCTATCTTGTCCGATCTGTCTGGTACCTTTACGTGACATTTCGTGGAATTTTTGCACAGCGATGTATTCATCCGCCCATTAATGACTTGAAATTGACAATCTGCATTATAAACATTCTGTTTTGTCATTAAATGTATTGTTTCAATTTTTTTAGATATCTGATGTTGTAAATAAAATATAATCTACACTGTGAAATATGTTGTCGTCTTTGTAAGGACAGACTACATTTTTACCCTGAAGCATTCAAATGTAGCTTTGGTAGTATAGAGGCAATGTTTATTTGAGGCCCCAGATGGGGTGCTTGTAGTCTTTAGCAAAATTGAAAAGTTTTTTTGAACTAAAAGGTGCGAGATTTTTTTTTTTTACCTGTAACTGAGCAAGACTAGGTTAATCTCAGTCTCGGGCAAAGATTCTGTAACATCCCGACCTCGGCTTATGCCTCGGTTTGAATTATGTTACAGAATTATAGCCCTCGACTGGGATTGAAGGCACGGTAGTCTAGTGGTAGGACACCGGGCTCGTGACTGAAGGGTTGCGGGTTCCAGTCACGGCATTATGTTGTATCTTTGAGCAAGATACTTTACTCTGCTTGTTCCAGTCTACTCAGCTGTAAATGAATATGTGGTTGTTGAATGCTAGCTGTTAGTGCCGAAATGGCAGCTCCGGCTGTATACTCCCCAGGGAGTTGAGAAAGATATTGGCTGGTTGCAAAGGCCCTATAACCACGGATAATAATTTGTGAACCGCTTTGAGACGACCTACGAATTTGAACTAGGTTTAAAGTGATGAGTAACCAAGAATAGAAAACAATGGGTCACCTATAGATAGAGAGAACTGGATAAAAGATATCAAGTCAAATGAGTGTTGGTAGAAAGCTATTGCGGAGATAAGGCAGTTGACTATTTCAGACAGGCAAACCAAGTTTCTGATTACCAGCAGGGCGTACCAACCTGGCGGAGCTGCCACACAAAGTGGGGATAGGTTTGACAGGAAGACTGTCCCCTAATAGGCTACAAGGGGGTACAGGGGTCTTCTTCCAAAAGAAAGAAAAAAAAATGACGTTGATGAAATATGTGGCTCCTGCAGCTCTCATGATCATTAATAGTTAAACAGAGATAAAGTTGCTCTGGTTAATTTCATGACAACATGAGGATCAAAGTTAAATAAATAAACACAGACTAGCTGAAGGTTAAACATCAGCCTGAAAAAAGGCAAATAGAAATTATAAGACTAAATTTTAATTTGACTCGGAGGGATTTTTATACATCACTCAGGCGACTGAAAGCTTTTGTCAATTTTACAAGTGTTAGAATTGCACCCTATCATGTTCAAAGACATTTTTTGTAAATTATTATATAACCCTCATAATATTATATAGGCTATGAATCACTCTACATATTTGTGAAAAATAGTCATTTATAATTACAGGTTTTCTGTCTTGGGTATGGGACAGTCCTTAGCTTTTTAAACAACCATACAGTTTCATTGCTTTATTATCAATAACTAGTGCAGCAGGAAGACAGTATGAATGCAGTGACGAGTTTTACATCACGTAAAGCATTAAACTATGTGATACGTAACATCAGTAGAGCAATCAACATCACGTTACAACTCAGGTATGATAATCACTTGTTATCAGTTATCTGTACTGAATATCAACACACTTCTAAATATCAGGGACATTGAAAGCATGAGTCTCATGTAAGCAGGCATAGCTATTGACCTTTAGAACCTCCATTTTGACACTAATGGTATTGACACATATATAACATGCATGGTAGCCTGATGGTGTCCAGGAAGGTCAAGGTTGATCCCTTTATTGTTACATATATAACAGACCTAGACTAAATGTCCCATCAATGTTATACAATACAGAGGATCCCCGATAACTTTAACCCCATATAATCCAGATATAAATGTATTTGTTTAACCCAGAGCTTAAATCAAGCACAATTCATGTATACATATATATGTAAATAGAACCTGTGTAATCCAAAACCCTGTCTATTCAGAAGATATTGTTCCCAGCTGTATTCAGTTTAGATAGAGTACAATATAGAACATGAGCTTACATAAATCATTTGATTACACTGTGCATTACCTGCCCTGCTCCAGTAGAACCACATCAGTCCAGCCTCGTTCAGATAGATGGTAGGCAATGGATGTCCCAAGAACCCCCCCACCACAGATCACCACCCTAGCACTGGAAGGCACCTTAACTGATGGCTTGTCTTCTCCATTGCTGGTCACGGATTCCTCACTGTACTGTCTGCTGCTGGTGGTCCAGAGACCCCGATTAACAGGGGATTTCAGGCCACGGCCCAGACCTCTGAGGATCCCCCTAACAAGTGCCATTGTGTTCCTGTGTCTAGAATTAACAGACATTTTTTTTTGTCTGCATTACTTTCAGTCTACTGATTACACAAGTTGTTCCCTTTATTAAACAGGTTTTACTAATTACCACATTCTTTCTGCATATAAGGTTTCCTTTGTGAATATTTCTGAGTCGATCAGTAAAATAAATACCCATATGAAATTGACAATTTTCCTTCAAAAGTCTTCAACTACAGTTTTTTTTAGTTATGATTATAATGACTTTAACTGCTAAGTGAGTTCTCCACTGACAACATCAAAAAATATTTAAAAAACTATTAATATTAACATTAAATACATCTGGTATACGATTGATGCACAAATAATTATGGTAAAATAAAGAAGCATTAAATAAGCTTTTTATGTATAGTTACTTTGCAATTGCTTACTTTAACTAATCAGAAAAATCTCTCTATTAATTAATATGAAAACTTATTTTGACAGTACTTACCCCTAGTCTGTTGTCCTCACTGAAGATTTGACATAACTGACAGGTCTATTAGGGACTGCCCCACTTGACACACAAATACCTGAAGCCCTGTACAGATATCAAGAACCTCACATCAGGATATGATAGGACGATATCTCACACATGTGTGTCCTGTATTTACATTATATATTTCACAACAGTTCACAATGTTGACCTCACAGATTTACATGACATGGTTATATCATCCCAGGTACTGTTATTCCTCAGTCTGCAAATCTCCAGCTATTCGATGATTTAGCTGATAAATGTTGTCTAAATCACGATAAAGATATCAACTGATGGTGCGGCTGGTAAATATGACCACATTATCTGCATTTATGTCCTTGACTTTACCTGGAAAAGAAATGTCAAAAATAGTCTATAGGTGCTTAACACTTGAAGCTGTCAACTTTATGTTAAGCTTAGTCAACATATGCCTGGTATCAACACAGCTGCCGTTTACTTACAGGTAATACATTGATCTGTATAGAGCATACCTCAGCACATTATCTTGAAGGTGACCTATTACGACACAAAAAATATAATGTGCAATCATGGCCCTGCATTTCATATTGTATGTAGGTCACTCTTTCTGTAGGAACTCATTGTCCACAGATTTGTTTTTCAAATTAGGATGTATAGCATGTACCCACATCAATACAAGTTATGTATTATGTTGCACCTGCAGATATTTCAGTGAATTATGTAACTTTTTAGTTGTCAAGATTGCTATGATCTAGTCACATTGTATTGGGTAAATTTTATGCTGTTTTGCCAAAGAGGTAAATCTGAAATTACTGGTCTCAGTGTAATGCTCACTATACATGTATATTGCTTTATAAATAGCATGGCCACCGATTGCAATTGATGGTCCAGGGCTGAAGCCCCCTATTTCGGCCAGAGTGGTGTAAAATTTAAAGAATGACAGGGCCAGAAAAAAGGACACGCAGCTGCCAAAAGATATCTCGAAAATGTTTGTGGTGGGGCAACTGCACCCATCCCACTCCACAGGCGACAGCCATGTATTAGCTATAGGCTATATATAGCTGACACCAAGTGTTCTGTGTGATTAAAGTATGGTAATGAGCTAACATCAGTTCTAGGTTTGTGGGTTGATCAGTCGCGTGCTTCGGTTTAAGTACTGATACCAAAAGGTAATTAGGTATGCCGGGCGATTACAGAATATAGACACATGAAAAAATGGATATCTTATCACAACATATTTACTCAAGCATCATTATAAATTCTACGTTTGATTTGAATTATTCCTACTGGTATGGTTTAATGGTACAGTTATCTCGCTAAAGGACTCACACAACTAAATCAGCCAATCAGCTACAGAAGTGGGACTCACACAACTAAATCAGCCAATCAGCTACAGAAGTGTTTCATATGGTTGTAATCCCTACCTAAAATTTGTTCCAGGTTAATACAGTGCCTCTGAGTTTTTAAATACGTAATTGTTGACATATTTTACATTGAATGAAATCTACAGTTATTTAAACTTTACAAAAATGTATAATTTTGATAGATTTTAACATGTGATGGCGGATGGATATGGGGTCAAATGTCAGGAGGTGGTCCTGTCCCACTTCACCAGTTTGGCTTGTAAACTTCCGGTTGTCAAAAGCAGATGCCTGTAGCACTCTAATATGCCACTAAACCCGCCAAAAAATGACTTTTGAAGCCTTTGTCAGGTATGTATCTGTGAATCTAGACAGTTGTCACTGGTGTTGAACTTAAAATATTAACGCTATTAGCTCAACAAACTTAGTTATTCCTAGGAGTTAAGAACAGATGATAGTTTTGCTGTTAACAAAATCTCGCCATGGAGTGGATAAAATGGTTTTGGGCATTCCATTACTATAATAAATGTCTGAAGTCAAAAGTCAAATAAAAGTCATAACAGCCTACTTTAAAAATGGGATGGTCATACTCTGCCATTACAAGACATTTTCATGTACCAGGTTTTGTGCTCCTTAATTCATGTAGAAATTTCAATGTGGAACTATGCTCAAGACAGACATGTGTAAAAAGTTGAAGAAGAAATAAGGTCACAGTGAGTGTGGTACACTCTGCTTTCAAGACAAGAGTATCAGAGGAACTGATGTATGTTTGTTCCCCGAAAACAACTTTATTGGAGGCTTTTCCTGTTTGTGAATTTTGCATTTGGTTAGATTTATGACATATCAATTGGTAAAAATATGTTGAAATGTGGAGTTTGGTAGAAGAAAAACAATGTTTTAACAAACATGTATATATGTGTCTGATATTTTAGCAAAGGGCAATAACGGTACAGTGCACATCAACTTAGTGTGACTGATATACACGCCAAGATTCATGATCCTAGCTTAACTGCAGACAAAGCTGTGCTCCGGACACGCCATTTTAGCAAAGGGCAATTACTCTGTCAATAAGGGGTTGTGGGCCCTATATTTGGCACAGTGTACATTGTCTTAGTATAACTGATGTAAACACCTAATTTCATGATCCTACCTTAAATTCGGGCAAAGCTATGCTCCGGACGCAACATTTTAGCAAAGGGCAACAAAGGTCAATAGCTCTGTAAATAAGGGGTTGTGGGCCCAAACTTTGGCACAGTGCACATCGTCATAGTATGAGTGATCGATGTACACACCAGGTTTCATGATCCTAGCCTAAATGTGGGTAAAGTTATGCTCCAAACACGAAAGGGACAGACGGAAGGACGGATGGACAAAGCGACAACTTGTGAACAGAAAAAATGTTCGGGGAGCATAAAATTGCACTTGCTACCAAATATGGTAATCCTAGATAAGATGCATTTTTACTTGATGATTTGATCTAGTTTGAGCTAATACACTGTACCACTATTTTGTCTGCCTTGCTAGAAATAAATGAGATTTTGTGCTTAATACCTGAGGACTATACATCTTTTCCATAGAAAAATTCCCTCTGATGAAGCAAGCAATGTGACCAAATGTTACAATACAAAACTACAAAAAAATATGGGCTGTGTAATATCTTTCAATGCGAAGATTTAATTTTGATTACCCAGTAGATTGCATTGGAAGCAAAAGTAGTGAGGAAAGTTGCCATGATTGGTTTACCTGGTATTCATTGGGTATGTTTAGTGTTTACGGTGCAGATACCCTGTGGAGAACCCATTGGAGCAAGCATTCTATGGACTGTATTTCATAAAACTAATGTTATGAGCTGTGTGATGACAATATAAGATGTGGACAATATTACAGTATATAATTGTTTGTCTAAATACATATTTAGCAACCCAATTACTTATAAATCTTTAGAATGATTCACCATAATCAAATACAGTGTTTTTTCATGTTATTTATACTTATATTGTAAATATCATAAAGTACATTCGGAGAGTGATTTGATATGAAAGTAAAATCAAAGAATCTGGAAAGGTTATTAACCATGCGTGATAAGCTCTTTAATAATTTCATATGAAAACAAAAACCAGCCAGTCATGCATCAGTGGAGGGGCAATATTCCTAAAAGTAAGTTCTTATAATTGAATGCAAGCTTAGTGATCAGTAAAGTTATTGGTATAATAGTTGAGCACCTATAGCTAGCAAAGCCAGCAGTGATAGGCCTGACAGGATTCTTGCAGAATTTTGGAATCCAATACAAATGAGGCAGGTCTGTATATATCTTCATCATTATTAATCTTTTATATTCAAGTATTCGGAAGGTTTGCTTTACAGAAAGAAGCATGTCTATCTAATACAGTATTTCATCTTTTGAAAAAAAGTACGGAAATGTATAGGTAATGTTTTCTTCGTTATCAAGCAAGTCTAGTTCTATTTGCAAGCATGTAATGTACCTAACAGAGTTTGCAGACAAAATTCTATTTATTAGATGCTTTGTCTGCCAAAACAACTATATACAGTATTACTAATCATGTAAATCGCTGTGCTAGTTTACAAATGTCATCAGGAACACTTTTAGTAGAATCTTCTTGTTATGTTCATAATACAGAGATAGAACAGGTACACTGTTGTTCAAACATTGTGGTCACCCTTGCTTCTTCTAGAGTTTCTACATTGTCTTCAAAATAACGTAACATTGTATTTGGCTATACTGTTGTCATGTTGATGTCCTCCCTGACAATGATTATGTCTATACTTAATGCAGATTGAACAAAAACAATACCTTCGTGACTTATGACAAATTTCCTTACAGAGTCAGCAAGGTCATTATATTACATCCATATGGTGCAAAATTTTCAAAAAGTCTTACGTAGTGTTCTTATCATTGTCTACTTTATAGGGTATTCAGAAGGGTATATATAAAAATCAATTAAAAGGCCATTATTAGGATATGTACCTTATACCTTATGGGATGCTCCCTATCAATTATGAACCTGTCCGTCAGTTTAAAATATCAGAATATCATTTTTTGGTAGACTTCTTGCTAAGTCCACTGATAAATATTTCACTTAACAGCTGAATTACATTACAAATAATTCTAGCATGGGCCATATGAGCAAGCCCACGTGTGGCAATAAGCCCACCTATATTGCATTGCAGATAATAGTAGAAATACCAACATATGCTATTTCATTGTCATGATTTATGCCCCGCTTTCCCATCTTGGTCCGAGTCAAACATTATGTGCTGATTCAAGCAAATCTTTGCAGGAAAAATTTGGGGTATCAATCTTTTTTTTATTTATTTAAACAGATTTTATGGCCTATTTTAATTATAAATGTGATTGGTCACAATTTGTTTGTTTGTTCTTTACAATACTATATATTTACATTCGCTCCCATTGAAGCTGTGTAAACCGTGACTGCATATACATTACCGTATACACAGTGAGATTCCTTGGAGACCATTGTTTCCTATTGATGATGTAATTTACATTGTGACGTCATAATGGTAACGTTGGAGATCCATCGCTGCTCGCAGGCTGTAGGCTGTTCATTTGTTTGGATTTACGCACGTTACGGAGGCTTTGTACCATTATAAAAGCAAATGTATTGGAGTTAGCTTTATTCTGAGTGTACCATCATAGTACGAAAATATGTAAATATAAGAATTGATCTTCAGTTTGACTGTGTATACGCAGTCAAAATGAAGGTCATTCCTTAAATAAGCTCATATAGTATCTATGCTGTTTATAATTAATAAAATTGTTAAGACATAAGCATTTACTTTACCTTAATAAGCTTACTGATAAATACACTTTTTACTCTTTCTCCCCCCAAAATTGATGGTTAGACCGTTAAAAATAATTGTCTTTTTTTTATATACATGTAAACAGGCCTTTGTCATTTATGTGTATCAACCAATCTGTCTAAATTTTTGGATATAATACTTTATAGGTATAACCAGACAGTCCTGCAATGGTTAACACTGTACAGGCCTCAAAAGTCTTTGCCAAGGTCAGCTAGAAAACAACATCAAATCATCTGTCCGACTGTTAGGAATGCGAAAAACGAAAGTGGCCATGCCTTTAAGTTTAACTATGTCAGGTGCAGAATAAGGCACTTGGTATATTTTTTCAACAAGTTGAAATGTATCTGAATTCTTCACTATTGTCCAATCAATCGCTCCAATCTGGCCTATTGGATGGTAAATGTAATCTTCCTAGGCCTCTTTAAAATTGCTGAGCTAGACTTTTAATATCCAGTCATTTGATGATGATTTTTTCTGTCAGATTTCATTGTTGAATTTTATTCGTTAAAGTGGCATAACAGATAAGTATCAATCGTATCTCTTCATGGAAATGATGACCAGATTTTGCTGAATTCATATTCAAAGAAGTGTATAATTACTGATAGAAAATGTGCATAACATACCATTTCACTGTAAAGGTAATTGGATTGCCGGGGAAGGTATCGGCTAAGTTGACCTTGACTTGAATCAGGTCCAGTACCTCACTCCTCTAATTGAGCTATATAGCTGTAAAGACCTGTATACCTATCCACCTATGATTTATAGCTGCACAGTATTGAGATATACTTACTAAGATTTCAGGTTTATTTTTAATAAAAATAACGCAAAGTCGCATAAAACTATGTGTTTTGTGGTAATGTTGACACTACAGTTGACACTTTAATTTTAATTTTACATTAACATTTTTTTTAAAAGATTACTTTTATTTCCTGTCTTTTGTAATCAAAATATTAATATAATCTTTTGAATGTGACTTTGTGTTGTTTTCGTTTAAATAGAACAAGAGGCCCAGAGGCTGTGCCTATAGCGCTCACCTTGATATTTAAGCAGTCAAAGAAAAATATTCTCATTAAAGATCATATTGTACTACAAATATTTTAATTGCAAACAATGGTCATCTTTCATTTATTCAGAAGTTGTTTGATGTTTTTGACATATTAAACCCTGTGACCTTGAAAATGGGTCAAGGTCTTTTTCTTTCTCAAACTTTGTCGGGCTTCACCCCAAGAAGCTACCAGCCAAATATCAAGATTCTATACCTTTCAGATCTTAAGAACAGTCATTTAAAGTGTTTGACGCATTTGACCCGTGACCTTGAAAGTAGATCCTGGTTATTTTCATTCGCAGACTTTGTCGGACTTCATCCCTACCAGCCAAATATCAAGATTCTTTACCTTTCAGTTTTTCTTCAGAAGTGGTTTGAAGTGTTTGGCATATTTGACCCCTGTTAGTGTTACTTTGAAAGTATAGGTCAAGGTCTTTTTCATTCTCAGACTTTGTAGGGCTCCACCCCAATAAGCTACCAAATAAATAGAAGGATTCTATACCTTACACCTTACAGTTCTCAAGGTTATTTTCATTCTCAATTACCTTTGTCGGGCTCTATCCCAGGAAGCCACCAGCCAAATATTATGAGTCTATACCTTTTAGTTCTTTAGAAGAAGTCGTTTAAAATGTTTGACATATTTGACCCCTGTGACCTTGAAAGTAGATCAAGGTCATTTTTGTTCTCAAACTATGTGGGGCTCTAAGCTTTTAGCCAAATATCATGACTCTGGGTCTGTCCATTCTTCAGAAGTGGTTTAAAGGAAAATTTGATGGACAACGGACAGACGCAGCGCCATGACATAAGCTCACTTGCCCTTGGGCAGTCATGAGCTAAAAATGTCTATTAAATGAAATTAGCTCAAAAGACTCATTCCAGAAAGGTCGATACAGCTATTAATAAGCGTTTACTACTGTAAAGTTTAATTGGCAGAATGTACTGGACTTTTTGAATGATTTCTGCAATGCACATGTGTAAGGACATTTATATAGGCCTAATTCAAATCTAGTTCAACGGTAACTAAGCGCCTACGACCACAGCCACATATAGCCCGAGTTGGAACATAGGCGCTTGTATCTGGTATTTAATACCTGAGCTAAAATACAAAATCCACAACTTACATATATATGTAAGTAGTTGATTTTGGATTTAACTCAGGTATTATACAAGCGCCTATATGATATGGTTGGTAAGACGTACAATTGTATAAACAAAGTCGATAAGACTGTTGTCATTCAGATTCATTAAGAACAGCACAAACAGTTCATGCATACTCACCATTTGCTGAAAGCAAGTAAACATACGACCGCCGTTAAGAAATGATAATGGGCATATCGGGGATAATAATGTCTCAGATGTCTGCGATGAATTTTTCTGTCTGCTACAAAACCCCTTATGACGTTAGAAATAAAAATTATCTGACATAGCGTTAGCTGTCTTCAAATTGACATCATGAATTAATTATAGAAAATACAATTTTCCTAAAAATACTCATTCTCTCCACAATTTACTTCTAAAACAAGTTGTATTTTTATATTTTGATTTGTAAGGGTATGAGGGACATTTACAGTGTTATCTCCCTTCCTAACTTTCACTTTAAAATCGGACAAGACCAGCCAAGCAATATATATTGTTTCATCGAAACCCACCAGGCAGCCAAATAACATTAGCTTCAAAGGTTGACGTAATGTTGAAATTTGTGGTAAGCTATTTTGCGTTAAGCAGAACTTGATTAACACATTCTTTTTACGCTTTAGCAGTTTAGCCGTTTGGACTTGGTTTGGCCTGAACAGTACTAGTAGTAACGGTAATGTCCTCTGTCAAAATTTATGACATAGCAACGGATTTCCATGGTATGCGTGAGTACCCAAATATACAGCGCTGTACATGTAAGGCCATGTGCGAATAATTGTACCTTAAACATCCATATGCGGCCTATATATTTTTAATAGTCTATGTTTCAATATTGACTCTTGTATTTAACCTCTAAATGGGTCCGACTTAAAATGTGACCAGTGGCCAGAATACACTGGAATATTATTAGTACTAATATTAATACCCGACCTCACGACGCATTATATATAAAAAAAAATCATCGTCAGAAAGCAACGTTATCACAGCTAGAACATTATATGGTCACACCACAGGTATTAGCATTGTTAGTCAATACACCATTACCAATGTTACAGGTGTGGCTAGTACCTGTTGTCACACTTAAAGGTGTTTTAAAAGGGACAAAAAATGTTGCTGGACAAAATATTTTAAGTTGCTGAATAAAGTTAAGTGATATCTTCAGTAATATTCTTCACTAATGACTTTGGAAATAATGTAATTTCAAAGTTTTACTTTAAACATTGTTTGTGTATAAAGTGAAAGATTGATAGAAAATCAGTAATATCACAAAATATACAATTTATATTGATATGATAACCCTGTTTACTAAGTTTCAGTTTTATCTTTAAAAATGACAGAGTTATGGTGAATTCCATTTTCATGATTAGATAGTGATCTGTCACGTGTGTATTTTCTGCATAGTTAATATAATGAAGCATTAAATTTGTCAGATAATATCATTAAAATGCTAAATAAAGTTAGTGATATCAGAAGATATGCTATTTGTATGACTATAATGCACCTTTTATACAAAAGTTTAGTTTGGATTTAATTATGGAATATTGACACTTTATTCTATCAATAGAGTATCAAACGTGTGTGTGTGTGTTTATATAAAAATTTTATCTCAAAATAATCCATCAAGTAAGCTACATTAGGATAAATGTACTTTATATGAATTAGATGTTAAAAGTTTTAGTTTGACATTGAATGACTGAGTAACGATGAATTTTAATTTTGACTATTGGCATTGAAAGCATGTCACATGTGTATAAAGCTTCACACTCAACGAAGTATTTTCAAACAAAATTATTTAAAAAAGAATCATTAACTAAGCAACTTTAAAAGATAAGTTGTTTGAAACGCTTTAATAAATCTTTTTGCCAAGTTTCAGTTACATGAGTCAGGTACAGATTTTCACAGTGTACATGTACAGATATTCACAGTGTGCAGGTACAGATATTCACAGTACTCATACATATATTCACAGTGTACAGGTATATTCACAGTGTATATAAAGGTACAGATATTCACAGTGTACAGGTACATATATTCACAGTGTACAGGTACAGATATTCACAGTGTACAGGTACAGATATTCACACTGTACTGGTACAGATATTCACAGTGTATAGTTAAAGATATTCACAGTGTACAGGTACATATATTAGGTACATATATTGACAGTGTACAGGTACAGATATTCAGTGTACAGGTACAAATATTCACAGTGTATAGGTACAGGTATTCACACTACTGGTACAGATATTCACAGTGTACAGGTAATGATATTCACAGTGTACAGGTACAGATATTCACACTGTACTGGTACAGATATCCACAGTGTACAGGTAAAGATATTCACAGTGTATAGGTACATATATTGACAGTGTACAGGTACAAATATTCACAGTGTATAGGTACAGGTATCCACAGTGTACTGGCACAGATATTCACAGTGTACAGGTAAAGATATTCCCAGTGTCCAGGTACAGATATTCACAGTGTACAGGTACAGATATTAACAGTGTACAGGTACATATATCCACAGTGTACAGGTACAGATATTCAGTGTATAGGTACAGATATTCATAGTGTATAGGTACAGGTATCCACACTGTACTGGTACAGATATTCACAGTGTACAGGTACATTTATTCACAGTGTACAGGTACAGATATTCACAGTGTACAGGTACAGATATTAACAGTGTACTGGTACAGATATTCACAGTGTATAGTTAAAGATATTCACAGTGTACAGGTACATATATTGACAGTGTACAGGTACAAATATTCACAGTGTATAGGTACAGGTATTCACACTACTGGTACAGATATTCACAGTGTACAGGTAAAGATATTCACAGTGTACAGGTACAGATATTAACAGTGTGCTGGTACAGATATTCACAGTGTACAGGTAAATATATTCACAGTGTACAGGCACAGATATTCACAGTGTACAGGTAAATATATTCACAGTGTACAGGCACAGATATTCACAGTGTACAGGTAAATATATTCACAGTGTACAGGTACAAATATTAACAGTGTACAGGTAAAAATATTCACAGTGTACAGGTACATTTATTCACAGTGTACAGGTACAGATATTCACAGTGTACAGGTACAAATATTAACAGTGTACAGGTAAAGATATTCACAGTGTACAGGTACATATATTGACAGTGTACAGGTACAAATATTCAGTGTACAGGTACAAATATTCACAGTTTATAGGTACAGATATCCACACTGTACTGGTAGAGATATTCACAGTGTATAGGTAAAGATATTCACAGTGTACAGGTACAAATATTAACAGTGTACAGGTACATATATCCACAGTGTACAGGTACAGATATTCACAGTGTATAGGTTCATATATTCACAGTGAACTGGTACATATATTCACAGTGTATAGGTACATATATTCACAGTGCACTGGTACAGATATTAACCGTGTACAGGTACAGATATTCACAGTGTACTCATACATATATGCACGGTGTACAGGTACAAATATTACAGTGTATAGGTACAGGAATTCACAGTGAACTGGTACAGATATTCACAGTGTACAGGTAAAGATATTCACAGTGTACAGGTACATATATTCACAGTGTACAGGTACAGTTATTCACAATGTACAGGTACAGATATTCACAGTGTTTAGGTACAAGTATCCACAGTGTACAGGTACATATATTCACAGTGTACATGTACAGATATTCACAGTGTGCAGGTACAGATATTCACAGTGTACTCGTACATATATTCACAGTGTACAGGTATATTCACAGTGTATATATAGGTACAGATATTCACAGTGTACAGGTACATATATTCACAATGTACAGGTACAGATATTCACAGTGTACAGGTACAGGTATTGACAGTGTATAGGTACAGATATTCACAGTGTACAGGAAAAGATATTCACAGTGTACAGGTACAGATATTCACAGTGTACAGGTACAGATATTCACAGTGTATAGGTACATATATTCACAGTGAACTGGTACATATATTCACAGTGTATAGGTACAGGTATTCACAGTGTACAGGTACATATATTCACAGTGTACAGGTACAGATATTCACAGTGTAGAGGTACAGATATTCACACTGTACTGGTACAGATATCCACAGTGTACAGGTAAAGATATTCACAGTGTACAGGTATATATATTCACAGTGTACAGGTACATATATTCACAGTGTACAGGTACAGATATTCACAGTGTATAGGTACATATATTCACATTGTGTGTAGGTACAGATATGCACAGTGTACAGGAAAAGATATTCACAGTGTACAGGTACAGATTTCACAGTGTACAGGTACAGATATTCACATTGTGTATAGGTACAGATATGCACATTGTACAGGTACAGATATTCACATTGTACAGGTACAGATATTCATAAAAGAATATGATGTCAAGGATCCCTGTACCACTGTCAAAAACTGTAACTGTAACTTTTGGAAACTTTTTCTTTTTGCATGACTACAGCTTTGATATATCATTTATGAAAAGAAAACCATACCTTGCAGGACTTTTTCTATCACAAGAAATATGAATAAAGATGAAAAATTATAAACAAAATATAATTAACAGTGTTCTAAATGTAAAAAAAATCAGCAGGGCTAGACCAGGATTTGAATGCTAGAGTTAAGATTGATATACTATCGCTCTTACCGACCGAGCTACCTGGTCAACAGAGGTGTCTTTACTCTTAGCTGTGCTTCAGATATATCTGAATGGAAGTTAAGGGGAGGTCACTGTGTATTTGAAAAACCACAATGCAGTGGGACAGAGATTTGATTGTTTAATAGTGTATGCCTTGACCGGTAATCTGGTGCAGGGCTGGTATACAAAATTTACAAGTGGCCAATGCAAACTTTATTTATTGGCGCTGGGGCACTGATGAGGGCAAGTGTACAGTACAGATGGCGTAGACATCATATCAAATCAAATTAACAACAATTTAGAATCTCCTTTGTCAAGGTATTTGATGTGTTAACATTTGATATGTAGCTTGAATAGTTATATGAATAACTATTATTTAGGTTGTTCAAATAAACGATTATAACATAATTTCAAATTTACAGGAAAAAATGATTTAAAATAACATTCTTAAAAAATCTTTTTAAAGAATTCTTACAGTTAGATCATAGAAGTTATTTCCCTTCATCATGCTATTATACATGGTATATCCAAGGACTTAGATAATCTAATTCCGTAGTATATCCCATCCTAAGGTTTTGATATGTAAATGACACATAAATTTGTCGGGTACAACGATAGCTAGGTATAGGAATAGAGCATTGCGAGGCTCGTTGTCGAACCATTCGGGTGAACTTATACCCTCCCCGCCTATTTGGTACCTTGTATGTGTGATTTCATATAGTGTAATATGGTGTTTCCAAACACAAGAGGATAATATTAATATAAATATTGTGAAGTTGGTTCAGATTTATGTAAGAGACACCAGAAGTTTCTGTTAGATTCTTTTTGTTGATTCTCAACTAGATGTTAAATTTTGCATGTCTTGGTCTGTTGGTCAGCAGTCTGAATTGGTCCTGACACAGAATAGTGTGTGTACAAGGAAAATTGGTCTGTTCTGGCCTCCAGTCCGTGTCAGACAATCAGACTGATATTATGACACTCGATCGTTATATTGTCCCAACTACATGACACAATGTGAGAGTTAAATATTTAAAACTTAACATTAATACATATATGTATTATAATATGTGATGTGTATGTACTGTTAATTATTGTAAGGAGAGAGCTTGTATAGGCTATGCCTGTTGCCCAATGCTGATTTTACTTTAGATCTGTACAATAAAATACATGTATTCAGAAGTGAGATACAAAAATGTTTACGTAAAAAAATCTTTAAAAGAACCACTATATCATTAGTGTGCCATCATCTTGCAGGTTAAAAAATAATGGCTTTGTGGGATGAAGTATTATCAAGTTTGTTTAAATGAGTGACCTTGACCAACCGGTACATTTAAAGTTGCAGGGGTTAAATGTTAAAAATTAAAAAAACTCATTCTAAAGAACCATGACACCTAGACACAATATATTTGCCCTGTCACATAGCTTGCATTTGTGAAAGATTATCTTCTTATTAAAATTAATTTCATTGACCTAGCGTACTCGTTAAAAACTTTTATATTTGATTTCTTCTGAATAAACATGAAACTTTGAATTGTGATATTTAGCCTTTGACTTGCTCGCATGATGTACAATTAACTCCTTATTTTCGGTGTCATTTGTATAAACGATTCTTTTTAATATAATTGCAATGCCAAACGTCAAGTCTGTTCAAATGAATGCACTGACCCATTTTCAAGGTTGCATGGTCAATCAAATGTTATAAAATCTTCAAACAACTTCATCTAAAGAATTATGCTATCTTGAGTGATGATATTTATAAGTGTTTTGATGGAGAGAAGGGCTGTCAAGATGTTCAAATATATAACCTTGAACCATTGTCAAGTCACACAGGTGACGAAAGAAGAAAATATATCTTCTCAAGAGCTACAAGACCTAATGTGAAGATATGTTACCTGTAGCTGGCTGGTGCACAGGGTGGTTAATATTGTCCAACTTAACAGATATTCAATGTCACAGCTGTCCAATGTGTTGCTTCAAAACTCATTTTCTCCAATATTTCAATATTATTTCTATTTTGATAACACCTATTAACACATATGAATCATTTTTTTATAAGTATTTTTTCATGTGGATTGGATTCAAGAATTATATTAAGATTATAGAATTTGTTTTTCTCTTTTGACAGGTAACATTTGCCACTGGGCTTTATGCTGGATTATTCATTGACCAGAACTACAAGGTAAGTGTATCAGGAGGGGCTGGTTACTAAGTTAACAGCTGAAGGTTATATTTCTTAGAAGGTGCATAGCTTTGATTTCATAAGTGTTATAACCAGAGTGATATGTGTTTTATCATTATACAGAGAGTGATAGGTGTTATATCATTATACAGAGGGGGATATGTGTTATATCATTATACAGAGGGTGAGAGGTGTTATATCATTATACAGAGGGTGAGAGGTGTTATATCATTATACAGAGGGGGATAGGTGTTGTATCATTATACAGAGAGGGGGGGGTAGGTGTTGTATCATTATACAGAGGGGGATAGGTGTTATATCATTATACAGAGGGGGATAGATGTTATATAATTATACAGAGGGTGAGAGGTGTTATATCATTATAGAGAGGGGGATGGGTTTTGTATCATTATACAGAGAGGGGGGGGGAGGTGTTGTATCATTATACAGAGGGCGATAGGTGTTGTATCATTATACAGAGGGGGAGAGGTGTTGTATCATTATACAGAGAGGGGTGGGTAGGTGTTGTATCATTATACAGAGGGGGATATGTGTTATATCATTATCCAGAGGGGGATAGGTGTTGTATCATTATCAAGAGAGGGGGGGGTAGGTGTTGTATCATTATACAGAGAGGGGGGGGGAGGTGTTGTATCATTATACAGAGGGGATAGGTGTTGTATCATTATACAGAGAGGGGGGGGGAGGTGTTGTATCATTATACAGAGGGGGAGAGGTGTTGTATCATTATACAGAGAGGGGGGGGGAGGTGTTGTATCATTATACAGAGGGGGAGAGGTGTTGTATCATTATACAGAGAGGGGGGGGGAGGTGTTGTATCATTATACAGAGGGGATATGTGTTATATCATTATACAAAGGGGGATATCTGTTATATCATTATACAGAGGGGGAGAGGGGTTATATCATTATACAGAGGGGGATAGGGGTTGTATCATTATACAGAGGGGGATATGTGTTATACCATTATACAGAGGGGGATATCTGTTATATCATTAGTTATATCATTATACAGAGGGGGATATGTGTTATATCATTATACAGAGGGGGATATCTGTTATATCATTATACAGAGGGGGATAGGTGTAATATCATTATACAGAGGGGGATAGGTGTTATATCATTATACAGAGGGGATAGGTGTTATATCATTATACAGAGGGGGATATCTGTTATATCATTATACAGAGGGGGATAGGTGTAATATCATTATACAGAGGGGGATAGGTGTTATATCATTATACAGAGGGTGAGAGGTGTTATATCATTATACAGAGGGGATAGGTGTTATATCATTATACAGAGGGGATAGGTGTTGTATCATTATACAGAGGGCGATAGGTGTTGTATCATTATACAGAGGGGGATAGGTGTTATAGCCTTATACAGAGGGGGATAGGTGTTGTATCATTATACAGAGGGGGATAGGTGTTGTATCATTATACAGAGGGCAATAGGTGTTATATCATTATACAGAGGGAGATAGATGTTGTATCATTATAAAGAGGGCAATATGTGTTATATCATTATACAGAGGGGGATAGGTGTAATATTATTATACAGAGGGGGATAGGTGTTGTATCATTATACAGAGGGCGATAGGTGTTATATCATTATACAGAGGGGATAGGTGTTGTATCATTATACAGAGGGAGATAGATGTTGTATCATTATACAGAGGGCGATAGGTGTTATATCATTATACAGAGGGGGATAGGTGTTGTATCATTATACAGAGGGGGATAGGTGTTATATCATTATACAGAGGGGGATAGGTGTTGTATCATTATACAGAGGGGGATAGGTGTTGTATCATTATACAGAGGGGGATAGGTGTTGTATCATTATACAGAGGGGGATAGGTGTTGTATCATTATACAGAGGGGGATAGGTGTTGTATCATTATACAGAGGGGGATAGGTGTTGTATCATTATACAGAGGGGGATAGGTGTTGTATCATTATACAGAGGGGGATAGGTGTTGTATCATTATACAGAGGGGGATAGGTGTTGTATCATTATACAGAGGGGGATAGGTGTTGTATCATTATACAGAGGGGGATAGGTGTTGTATCATTATACAGAGGGGGATAGGTGTTGTATCATTATACAGAGGGGGATAGGTGTTGTATCATTATACAGAGGGGGATAGGTGTTGTATCATTATACAGAGGGGGATAGGTGTTGTATCATTATACAGAGGGGGATAGGTGTTGTATCATTATACAGAGGGGGATAGGTGTTGTATCATTATACAGAGGGGGATAGGTGTTGTATCATTATACAGAGGGGGATAGGTGTTGTATCATTATACAGAGGGGGATAGGTGTTGTATCATTATACAGAGGGGGATAGGTGTTGTATCATTATACAGAGGGGGATAGGTGTTGTATCATTATACAGAGGGGGATAGGTGTTGTATCATTATACAGAGGGGGATAGGTGTTGTATCATTATACAGAGGGGGATAGGTGTTGTATCATTATACAGAGGGGGATAGGTGTTGTATCATTATACAGAGGGGGATAGGTGTTGTATCATTATACAGAGGGGGATAGGTGTTGTATCATTATACAGAGGGGGATAGGTGTTGTATCATTATACAGAGGGGGATAGGTGTTGTATCATTATACAGAGGGGGATAGGTGTTGTATCATTATACAGAGGGGGATAGGTGTTGTATCATTATACAGAGGGGGATAGGTGTTGTATCATTATACAGAGGGGGATAGGTGTTGTATCATTATACAGAGGGGGATAGGTGTTGTATCATTATACAGAGGGGGATAGGTGTTGTATCATTATACAGAGGGGGATAGGTGTTGTATCATTATACAGAGGGGGATAGGTGTTGTATCATTATACAGAGGGGGATAGGTGTTGTATCATTATACAGAGGGGGATAGGTGTTGTATCATTATACAGAGGGGGATAGGTGTTGTATCATTATACAGAGGGGGATAGGTGTTGTATCATTATACAGAGGGGGATAGGTGTTGTATCATTATACAGAGGGGGATAGGTGTTGTATCATTATACAGAGGGGGATAGGTGTTGTATCATTATACAGAGGGGGATAGGTGTTGTATCATTATACAGAGGGGGATAGGTGTTGTATCATTATACAGAGGGGGATAGGTGTTGTATCATTATACAGAGGGGGATAGGTGTTGTATCATTATACAGAGGGGGATAGGTGTTGTATCATTATACAGAGGGGGATAGGTGTTGTATCATTATACAGAGGGGGATAGGTGTTGTATCATTATACAGAGGGGGATAGGTGTTGTATCATTATACAGAGGGGGATAGGTGTTATATCATTATACAGAGGGGGATAGGTGTTATATCATTATACAGAGGGGGATAGGTGTTGTATCATTATACAGAGGGGGATATGTGTTATATCATTATACAGAGGGGGATAGGTGTTATCATTCTAGTGGTTGTTAACAGCAACAAATTAAATAAGACATCAATACTTTATTTTTCCTTTGCCTTTTTCTAAACAGGTGCCCAATGTGAGTAACCCCCAGAGTATTTATGAAGAAGTGATGAAGCAGATTGAGAAGTACAAGAAAGGTGACAAGTAGAAGATGACACACTTCATCCAAAGCCCAAGTCACATCAACATTCCCCGACAGATCAAGACTTTGCTGTGCATTTGTTTCATCTGAATCATGAATGAATTTCATAACTACATACATCTAGAATGTATACCTTAATGTGAGATATGATCAAGACCAGTACAGTTAATTCAACTGTAAGGAAATGTAAGGGAATGGATTAAAAGTTCAGGGAATTCCTGATATCATTTTCTGTAAATATCAACCAATTTTTAATAGTGTGTATGTAATAATCTATAAACGAGTCTGTGAACATTTGAAACATTAATATGCTAAAGTTTGTTTGGTTTGGTAATAATCTGTGTTAGTTTTTTTGACCATATATTTCAATAAATACATACATACCAGTAACCTCTGAAATTATGATGATAATAATAATAGAGTACAAAATTATACCAGGCAAGACAAAGAAGGAAAAAAAAAATTTGAAAAGGGTCACCTTTAATAAAGCTTCAAATAAAACCTGAACATGCAATAATTCTGCAGTGCTACATGAAACTTCTGTGTATTTACATTCAGGGTTATTCACAGATACAATGGATGGTGATTATCAGAAGAACAAATATGTGTAAAACAACTCGCAGTCTAAAACCAGATTATTGCTAATGTATCTATCAGTGCAATAGTATGTTAACACCAAGCCATAAAAACGAGATTAGTTATGTTTATAAATATCTTCTTTGTATTTCGTAACTTATGAGTATTATACTATTATGTGTTTAAAATGTGCGAGATTGAATCATGGATCAATTTGTGTGTAAAGTATCCCTCAGGGTTCGCTGGTTATGACGGAGTAATGTTTTGATTTACGTTGTGTAACTGGATGTACTAACAGTAGGAAGCTCAAGCATCAAGACCTACCAGATACCTGCAGCTATGACAAAGCGTGAATAAAAATGTCCGATACAGAAGTTTTGTGTTGATATCTGGTACTCTTTACTTCTGTAGTATGAAGGTAGTAGATACACATACAGTGGTAGACTTTAAGAATCCCATTACCACTACAGAAAACACATACAGTGGTAGACTTTAAGGATCCCATTACCACTACAGAAAACACATACAGTGGAAGACTTTAAGGATCCCATTACCACTACAAAAAACACATACAGTGGTAGACTTTAAGGATCCGATTACCACTACAGAAAACACATACAGTGGAACACTTTAAGGGTCCCATTACCACTACAGAAAACACATACAGTGGTAGACTTTAAGGATCCCATTACCACTACAGAAAACACATACAGTGATACACTTTAAGGATCCCATTACCACTACAGAAAACACATACAGTGGTAGACTGTAAGGATCCCATTACCACTACAGGATACACATACAGTGGTAGACTTTAAGGATCCCATTACCACTACAGGATACACATACAATGGTAGACTTAAAGGATGATCCATTACCACTACAGGATACACATACAGTGGTAGACTTTAAGGATCCCATTACCACTACAGAATACACATACAGTGGTAGACTTTAAGGATCCCATTACCACTACAGAAAACACATACAGTGGTAGACTTTAAGGATCCCATTACCACTACAGAATACACATACAGTGGTAGACTTTAAGGATCCCATTACCACTACAGAATACACATACAGTGGTAGACTTTAAGGATCCCATTACCACTACAGAATACACATACAGTGGTAGACTTTAAGGATCCCATTACCACTACAGAATACACATACAGTGGTAGACTTTAAGGATCCCATTACCACTACAGAATACACATACAGTGGTAGACTTTAAGGATCCCATTACCACTACAGAAAACACATACAGTGGTAGACTTTAAGGATCCCATTACCACTACAGAATACACATACAGTGGTAGACTTTAAGGATCCCATTACCACTACAGAATACACATACAGTGGTAGACTTTAAGGATCCCATTACCACTACAGAATACACATACAGTGGTAGACTTTAAGGATCCCATTACCACTACAGAATACACATACAGTGGTAGACTTTAAGGATCCCATTACCACTACAGAATACACATACAGTGGTAGACTTTAAGGATCCCATTACCACTACAGAATACACATACAGTGGTAGACTTTAAGGATCCCATTACCACTACAGAATACACATACAGTGGTAGACTTTAAGGATCCCATTACCACTACAGAATACACATACAGTGGTAGACTTTAAGGATCCCATTACCACTACAGAATACACATACAGTGGTAGACTTTAAGGATCCCATTACCACTACAGAATACACATACAGTGGTAGACTTTAAGGATCCCATTACCACTACAGAATACACATACAGTGGTAGACTTTAAGGATCCCATTACCACTACAGAATACACATACAGTGGTAGACTTTAAGGATCCCATTACCACTACAGAATACACATACAGTGGTAGACTTTAAGGATCCCATTACCACTACAGAATACACATACAGTGGTAGACTTTAAGGATCCCATTACCACTACAGAATACACATACAGTGGTAGACTTTAAGGATCCCATTACCACTACAGAATACACATACAGTGGTAGACTTTAAGGATCCCATTACCACTACAGAATACACATACAGTGGTAGACTTTAAGGATCCCATTACCACTACAGAATACACATACAGTGGTAGACTTTAAGGATCCCATTACCACTACAGAATACACATACAGTGGTAGACTTTAAGGATCCCATTACCACTACAGAAAACACATACAGTGGTAGACTTTAAGGATCCCATTACCACTACAGAATACACATACAGTGGTAGACTTTAAGGATCCCATTACCACTACAGAAAACACATACAGTGGTAGACTTTAAGGATCCCATTACCACTACAGAAAACACATACAGTGGTAGACTTTAAGGATCCCATTACCACTACAGAAAACACATACAGTGGTAGACTTTAAGGATCCCATTACCACTACAGAAAACACATACAGTGGTAGACTTTAAGGATCCCATTACCACTACAGAAAACACATACAGTGGTAGACTTTAAGGATCCCATTACCACTACAGAAAACACATACAGTGGTAGACTTTAAGGATCCCATTACCACTACAGAAAACACATACAGTGGTAGACTTTAAGGATCCCATTACCACTACAGAATACACATACAGTGGTAGACTTTAAGGATCCCATTACCACTACAGAAAACTAATATTTTACATGTATACATTTTATATGCAGTAGAAACTTTCTTTCTCTGGCACAACATTCACTTTGATGGCTGTGTTACAATCAGAACATGTAGAAATTCAATAAACAACACTGCTGTTCTGGTGGTGTTGAGGATCCTTTTCTCTTTTGTTTCTCCAGTCAATCCTTTGTGGAACACTACCATATGTTATACATTAGGGTATTAAATCTCCCCTCATTCTTCTTGTGGTAAGATTTGTGTAAAGATAACCAAGAATCAAGTTTGACCTCTGACATCAAGTTGTGACGTTGATTTTGGGGTAGGGATCCACAGTGTAATACATATATATATATGTGTATAGGAAAATATACATTGTATAGCAGAAATTCAAATATCTTTCATGATCATAATGCAGCTGACTTCCTTAAGTTTACTGTATACAGTTACATATTAAATGATCCAGACATGACAACTTTCAACATGAATGAACGTATAAGAAAAGACACGAAAACCACTGTAAATAATAAACGTTTTATTTTGCATTATTAACATTTTCAGGACTAGGTGGTTGACATTTTTGGACTAAGATATGCCACTTTACCATCCAGTACTGTACAGTATGTATAGGTCCAGAATGAAATCACTGAAATTACTATAAAACATCAAGTTTTTGCCCAATTTTACTTTCATCCGTTACTCCTGCAAACAAAAGGCCCCAAATTCATTGGGAGAACAAATATGTATACATAGTTCATGGTACATGTACCAATTATTAAACCACAAGGCAAAATTGCTATGAGAGAGGAGAAAGTGGAAATTGCAAGGGAGTGGGGCAAAACTATTGTGGTTTATAGTAATTTCAAAAACTAACAAAAACATCAGTCATTCAATGCCCTTTGCTATTGATGTAAAATGGTTCAATAAACATACTAATATTTAAATCATTCTTAAAATACCAGATATTACATTTACTTTGACAATGGAAGTGTTTTGTAACAACTCATACAAGCATAGGCAGTTCAATTGTTAAGTCTCTATGGTGATGACCTTGACCACAGAAATTGCTTGATCCCATGACCTTGTAATGACCTTATAAAGTTGTCAAATCCAGTGAATTTTGATGACCTTACTATGTTGTCCAATCCAGTGAACTTTTGATGACCTCATGGCTTCAGTATGATGTCCAATTGGGTAATTTTGTCATGGCCTCAGGAGTTGCTATTAAAGTAACTATGTCATGACCTTAGTAAGTTGTTAAATCCAGTGACCTTGTCACAACTTCAGTGGTTGCTAATCCTGTGACCATGTAATGACCTTGGTAAGTTCTTTAATCCATTACTCTTGTCATGACAGAAGAAGTTGCTATTCCTAAAACCATGACAGGACATTGGTAAATTGTCTTAATCCTGTAACCTTGTCACAACCCAGTAGTTGCTAATCATCTGACCAAGTCAAGACCTCTGTAAGTTGTCAAATCCTGCAACCTTGTCATGAACATAACAAGTTGTCCTATACTCTGATTTTGCTATGACCTCAAGAGAATCAAGAAAACAGCCTGACAGTAAAATCAGCACCTGCACTGAACACCCAGGGTTGAGTGGGGTGGAACACACAGTCCATCACCCCAAGGTCCTTAGTCACACTGTGTCCCTTCAGAACCTTCACAGGCACGATCAACGGATTTTTTAACATGTCGCTGCAAAAGAAATGAAAAAAATGTTACAAGATGGCAATCATATACTGTAAAATGAGGAATTTGACTGAAAACAGATCTCTACTTTAAGAGTCCATTCCTTCAAAACAATATGTTTTTCACTTACTTGTAAACCATTCCATGACAGACAATAACTGTCCCATCATCTGAGGCTGATGCAAACAGAGGGTACCGCTTATGGTAACATACTTGGCGCAGAGCCTTTTTATGGTGTCTGTAAGTAACAAGATAGTATTAGTAAGCAAATTATTTTCAAGATAGAGTCACAAAGGAATACATTAATGGTTAGTTAATTAAAACCAAGTACACACACCAGACAGCAATAATTTGTAATTTTCTGGATTCCAAACTTGTGTTTGTGGTTTGTCATCAAAAGTATCAACTTCATATATTATTAACTTTATTGGAGTAATATTGGCTTCAACTGAAAGTCACAAAAAAAAAATTTCCTTCAAAATAAACTGCCCACCTGGTAGTGTTCATATAATCTTACAAAATACGGAAATGATAGAACACTAAACACAACTTTCTGTCAGAATAAGATAATATTAACAACGACCCCGAGAGAGGCAGGAGTGACTTTCAACAGCAGAAAACATGACAGCTACTGAAGCTATATTTTTTCACAAAATATACCCTGTACAATTCAGAAACCTGTATAAACAAGACCTTTACGTAGTATGTCCCTTAACCAGACCTCCTTGACTAGATATATTTCATTGTATCCATTTCTCTTTCTGTTTCAATCCAAAAACCTGTTTATTTTAAAGAGAGCTATTGATCATGGTTGCGTTTAGTTTCTACCGGTCTCACTTTATGCTATGGGGAGTACCAATACATTGACTGTGGTGATCTGTGGTGATCAGTGGTGCTACTGTTACAGAAATCTAGATAGAACTGTATCTCAAGAAACTGAAGCTGTGTATTGACATAGATTTTGTAGCTGAATGAGGTGGATCAGTGTGATTTAAAAGACTCGGGACAAATGTACCAGATGTGAAAATTTGATTCATTAAGTACATGCAGTTTTAAAATAATTAACAATAGAAATGAACCTTTTTAACATTTATCATGGTATTCAACTCAGTTCTGTTCAAATAGATTCCATGATATGTGGAAGCACATCTTGAACTGATTTACCAAGTGATGGAACAGATATTTTTGTGGAAACAAAGTTAAGGTTGTGTTTGCTATGGTTACCAGTTCCGTCTGGCAATACATTGTGATTGGAAACCACAATGTACTTTAGAAATGTCCATCATAATTTGATTTTGTCATCATGCTATGGTAGGCCCCAGATTACACAGTTTGATGGAAAGACCCAAACAGTTTCGGATTGGAAAGCATTCACATGTAATATTTACAATCAAAGTGAGGTAAAGTCATGTCTAGTATTGGAGGAATTTGAAATCACCTGAGTGTTTGGTAAGGTTTTGTAGATAGATCTAGGTCAAACCAAGACAGTCTGCAGTCATAACTTCCAATAATCAAGTTGTCACCTGCAACACAAAAATATATAATAATTGATCAAATGTCTTTCAATTAGCAGTGGGTTTTTTCACCTAAATTTTACAACAGCCTGTTTCTACATGAATTGGGAAGATATAGCATTTTGTTTTTAATATTGAAATTAGGAAAATATTTTTCCTTTCTTCAATTTGTGAAACCAAAGCACTTATTGCTAGGGGACGCAGCCTGTATAACTTCTTACAAAATAGCTAATATCATCATCCAACATCAATGTCTTTGTGCAAAAACAGTGCTCCCATATTCCTCATAGGTGCAATGAGAGGGGATGACTGAAAGATACTGACTTAATTAAAAGTTGTCAATATGACTGTGATAGTTGTCAATATGACTGTGCTACCTTTAGTTCTTAAACAATGTCAAATTTGAAAAAAACACAGACTCCATATTTGGTAAAAAAATTGGTTGCAGAATTTATTTGAATCCAGGAAATGCTTCTACTTAATAGGAAATAATTTGTGTCAGAATGAATATGGCTTTTTATAAAGGCTATAGTACAAATTGTAAAGCTAGAATAACTAAATTTTGTTTTCTTATGGGGGCTGAATATACAAAACACAACTGTATCATAACAAGGTGAGAAATATGGATGAATTATAATACCTCCTGAATGTACTGCCATACTGGAAACCCATTTACAGTTGGTCAATAGCTTCTTGGTGAGTTCCTGCTTCAATAGGTTATACACACGCACATATCGCTGGGTCTGTACATAAAAAAATAGCACCATCTCAATGATAGACTTCAACTTAAGGAGGTATGCTACCTTACACATTATACCTGTGACCTACTTTCAATTCCAATACATAAAATACTTTTGAAAAATACTTGATAACTGAAGCAGTTTTATTGTATACAATTGAATCAATGTATGAAATAGCCATCAGCCCGGGCCAGTCACTAGTTATCAAACCTGTAACGTTTACATTTTACCACAAAACAAAACCATATAAGAATTTTAAAACTGTACTCACAGCCACAAACAGGAATGGTCTGATTGGATGAAACAGAACACATTGCACCAGGCCCTTGGATTTGGAGAATGGATTCTAAATAAGATGGAACATGTTGTCATCATATAAGCATTACAAAATAGAAGTAATCTTTCTCTATTTAATACCATATTCATAATTCATATGTTAATTGTGATCTTTTTAAATATAGATAGAAATGCAATTCAATGAAAATTATCTTCAAGCAAAGGGGAAATTCACACGAGAAGGATAATATTTTATAGCCTATACAGATGTAATAAATTTGTTGGCTACACCCGAGGAATTGACAATTTTTACCTGTGATCGTTGCCGTGACAACTGGTGTATCATGACGGCGTTGCTGTCCCCTTTGGGCATCACAGATGCAAAGTAGTCTCCCTTCCCATGCCACGTCACCTGATTCACTTCCTGTATTAACACAAATAAAGTCAAGTATTCTTAATTAGAATCTCTTACAAAATGGTTAGTATATACCACATAGGGCACCTGTTATCTACAAATATCTCAACAGGAAAAAGATGTTTCAATTTATTTATTTTTTATTTGATAGAAATGTCCTTTCAAGGTTTTTGATATAAACCTACAGATTACAAAAATATCAGCTAATATTCATACATGAATACATGAAGCACTATGTTTAGATATCACAGCTACAGTGTACAACTGTTTACTGAGGTATATTGAGTCTCCTGAAGAGTTACCTTGGGATGTGAAAGTTTAAACCTATATCCAGCCTCATAATCTCTTCCTCCAATCTCTTCCCATTCAACAGGCGCCTTTTTACCTGCAGGTTAGATTCAGAAAAACATATATAACCCATGAATGAATTAGTAAAATCTTGAAAATATATTGTCTGTGAATAAATATTTCTTTTTTACAAACTCAAAGTACATATGACTTTTGTTAACTTGAACATTGTCAGTTGTTTAATTACAGAACTGACAGTCCCCCACCTTAGCAAGCTACAGGACAATGTCAAGACTCTAGGCCTAAAGTTTCTGTAGAAGTTGCTTAATGTCTTTCACCTCTGTACCATTTCACCACACTTGTTAGCCCTCCTACCTAACAAACTACTAAAGAAATATCATGACACATGATCAATTTTTTGTGAAGGAAGTGTCTTAAGCTTTAAATTCATTTGAAATTGCAAAGAAAATGAATCAGGGTACCAAGTAATTTATTTAAACACACCTGATATCCCTTAATCATAGCAAGCTACAGGAAATTTAACATGATTCTAGACCTTACTTTTAATTGGAAGTGTTCGACCCATAAAATGTATAAAGATGGTAATAAACTTTTATTTGGACACATCTGATAGCCATCCACCCTAGCAATCAAGAAGGAACATACATCATATACGACCAAGAAAGAGGATCAAGGTTATAATATTAATAAGTCGAGGTTCTTACATACCGCTTTATAACAACCTAGTTCATAGGTTGGTTCAAAGAGGTTCACAAATTATTATCCCTGGTTATAGGGCCATTGCAACCAGCCAATACCATTCTTAACTCCCTGGGGAGCATATAGCCGGTGCTGCCATTTCGGCACTCGTAGCTACCATTCAACAATTCTAGCACTGCCCAACCACATACTCATTTACAGCTGAGTAGACTGGAACAAGCAGAGTAAAGTTTCTTGCTCAAAGATACAACACAGTGCCCGGCATCTTACCACTACCGATAAAGGGAACTACTGTGCCTCCTAAAGGTATGTATTTTACAAGTTGATAACCCTCTATCCCATAATGATGCAAGATAATCATCATGACCCTATGTCTCACAGTAGTAGTAAAATAGTTCATTAAAGTGTCACATGTTTTAACATATATACATAAAATACAGCATTTTTACTACAGTTCTGTAGTAGAATTGGGAGAGTGGGGGGAGTGTTGTTTTATCCCATCCTTCAGTTTTACAAAGTTGAATCCCCTTAGCCCATGACTCATTCATATTCCAAACCAAATTTGGTAAAAATCCATTCAGCTGAATGGCTAATTTAAATGAAAACTTGATGACAGACACTGCACCATATCATAAGCCCATTTGCTTTCAGGAAATTGAGCAAATATGGTAGCATGATATATGTGATTAAATTCAAATGACTTTATGTTACATTTAAAAACTTGATTGATAATCCTGTACACAAGAAATCTTCATTGTTACAATCATTTGATTTAAAGCAACAGGTTTTGTGGAGGCTGAGTGACTTACTTGGCCCAGCATCATCTCCTGGTTTAATAGACTCCAGCATACTGTCTGTTTTAGTAACAACCAATTTGTCAACTAGACCAGGGTTGATCAGATACACATAACGACTCCTGAAATTTGGAACAAATTATTATCCAACACAAGTGATAGTTTTCCTCAAATCAATAACACCAACATAATGCCTCCCTTTTAATAGGACGTTGAACAAAATAAAACCAAATCCAAGCCTCAATTTCAGTACTGCAGATTTCATTTTTTCTTATTATAAACCATTGATTAATATATTGTTTCACTGCCTATCAATGATAGCAGTCATTTAGGGCCAAATCAAGCAATGAATTATACAAAGATAACATTTTGATTTTATAATTTTCAAAACAATTTCAAATGTGGTTTTAATACCACATACACATTAAGTGGGAAATTTTGGAGGTCATAGCATTTATGTTTGCCCTAAAGTCAATATTTGGCAATTCAGCATTTGACTCTTTGTCATAAGCGTGAAGTTTTTAATTTGTACGTATTGTATATATGTTAAAGGTACATGTTTATCGACTACTCAATAAAGTCTTTGTTCCTGTCAGAGTCTGATATATGGTAGTCTTTTTGTCTCATTGCTGCTGTATGGATTAAGTGCCAATAAACTTGTGATGCTACATTTGAAAATATAATGACCAGGCTCACAAATTTACCAAACTGTTCACTATCAAATCTAACCTCAATATCTGTTGGCATTTGACTAACCATTGTCATGCAACTAACAACAATGTGTGTCATTCTTCGTTCTTGGAACCTTTAAAGCACTGGTTCGAATCAGAATGCCTAATAGTAAAACAGATGGAAATGATGGTTGTACAACATGTTAATGGTTTAAACACTTGTGATTTAGATATTCAGAGTGTAGGTGTGGACCCACCAATCTAAATCATTACCAATTCACCATTACATCCCTCAGATAAAAACTTACACTGCTGCGGCCACCAAATTGATGGCCGAGTTTGGGTTCCAGACCAAACTTTTTACCACATCGCCTGTGGACAGTTTGTGAAGACAGCGACCACTAGACACTTCCCAAAACCTTATTGTCTTGTCGTCAGAACCTGAAAAGCAATTGAATTTGTTCTGTCATTTACAAATATGCTCATAATTGGACGGTTTTCACATCATATTCACAGAATAAAAGCGATCCTATTGTGCTCCGTTTACTGCTTATGTCAAATAGATTCAAAACAATTCAAAACATCTAAGATGTATAGCAGGAAACTTTTCTCTCCATGATGGCTACAATTTGAATTGTCTAAAAACATCGTATTACTTGAACAACACGATCTGCAGAATATTATGTGATAGGTGCAGCAGAAGTCAATGACATTTTTTGTAGGTGTAATTAACTTCTTCAGTTTTTGCAAGCTATAGCATGAATTCAATAAACGACAATTAATACTTTTAAAACAATTGTTTCCATTAAAGTCTTAAGTTTTTAAGTATCTTTTATATTGGTAAGGGCCACATTTCATTAGATAATGAATAAAAAAAGTCAGTCAATCTGAAACTTTAAAACTAAACATCAGGATTCATACTTATTATTTTAAATGCAGATTTGATTACTATTCTTATCAGTGAACATTCTCTTCTCTATGTAATATTTCTCTTAACTATATATATGTATCAATGGACTTGGACCATTCTATTGGTCATTTTAGGTTTATTTCACTTTTAGAGTGAAACTATTAAATACCATAGCTGTCAACCCTTCCTTATCATCAGAAGGGAGACTCCTTCATTTTAACCAAAATTTACCAATTTCCCTCAAAACTCCCTCATTCAAGTCCGAACTTACACAAACTCAATATCTATAACCTGTGGCCAATCTTCTTGCTATAGTTACTGCAGGGTGTGTGTAATGATCATAACAGGTGTGTCTGAATCAAATGAATGCTTTTTAGTGTTTTTTTGAAACATAAAAAGGGAAAGATAAATTAAGCAAAACAGTTTCAGTTGGGTTTCACACACTTTCTCCCTCATTGGAACTGAGGAATGAGGGAGATCTCTCGCATTGGAGGTTTCAGAGGTTGCCACCTCTTATAAACTGTAGTATTAACATGCTACAATAAACATATATACTAGAATTAACTTTTGAATATGACTGTTAATGATCTGTACCTGAGGCAAGCCACTGGCCGCTTGGATCTACTGCTATACACCTCACTATATCTGTGTGACCCTTGTACACCTGTAAATAAACAAAGCACACTGAAAAAGTCACAAAGTGGACATGTTATATGTATTATATAGTAATCATAGCCAACGTTCACAAAGTTGGCATTAAAACTCTGTAATAGATGATTCTTTGAAACAATTAAAACTAAACAGAGCCGAGCAGTAATATCATATAAAAGTGAGTTTGAGTCAACATCCTGACAAATACTATGTTCTAATAAATTTTGTTGGTAAAGATGAGTTTGGAAACAGTGAAGTCATGGAGCAGAAGTTAAAATGTTGACTACCAAATTATTCAGATGTTGTCATGATAAATAAATAAAACATCAACTATATGTCCAATTTGTTTGCATTGTTAGCATGTTTTGAAATACAAATATGCAATATACTTACTACTGCCTGTGTTGTTGGGAAGGGTTGCAAGTCCTTGGGTTTGGGCAACTTTGGAATCAGGTCCTCTGGGTTGATATTCATCTGAAAGAATTTTTGTAATTTATTTAACACTCAATGTCAGTTACTATTTTGCGTGCATTACAAAACATTTAGAATATGTCTGACAATGCCATACATTAGAATATAAGAAAAACGTTCAGAATGTGTCCTTGATCAGTTCCTCGTTGACACTGCGAATTTAATGTTTTGACAGATCTCATTTAGGATGGAGAGAGTCCCACTTTTGTCTATTTATTTAGACCTGAAAATAATTTTCCTGCTAAATTTGTGTTGTTTTAGTCATACATAGGTTTGTTTTTCCGAGTAAGAAAATTTTGTGATTATTCTTAGTCATGTTTCAGAAAAACATCATGATCAGAAAGAAGTGCAGTGTATTTTTATTGAGGTTATGAAAGTAGTTAAAAGCATACTATAACGTTCACATAGCTTTAAAAACATAAACTTAACATATTCTCATTTACTGCAATTACCAATGTAAGATCAACTTTAATTAAACTGTGCCCTTTTAAACAATACTATAAGAATCTGATACATAAAAAAAAATGACTACATGTATTCTGAATGAAGTGGATGACACAAACCTTTATCTTCCTTTGTCGGGGGCAAAGGTAGAGATCAAGACATCTTTCAAATCTCTCGTTGATAAATCTGGGATAGGATGGAACTTTTCTCAGACTGTCAAACTTCTGAGGCAGGAATTTCATTCGTCGCTCATCAGGGTCCTGATTCCGCCATTTCTCTTCCTAAAAGCAACATCTAAGTTTAAATTTATTCATAGAATGAATGTTCTGGTGATATTGTATAGTAAACAAAATATAGATGTCTGTATACACCTTTAATTTTGAAGAGTGTTAGTTTTCATTCAAATCTTTAAAAGTACCAATTCTTGTAGTGCTGTGCTCGTGGTGTCCAATCAGTTAAATATGTAGCTTATATTGATTAGAAACATATTCTATCATGTCGAAATTACAACAAAATACTGCTGCTAAGATAAAATATTTTAGAATATTGTTACTTCCTAAATCAGAAGTACTTTCTGTAACACCAACAAGCCCAGTTTGTGTCCTACCTCTTCCTTTGTAAACAGATATTCAGGTGGTGGATTATAGGATTCATAGTGATCTGGTAAAGGTATCTTCGGGGCTGGAATTCGAGCTCTGTACTTTTTTGTGATATCATTCTACAAATATGTACAATACAAATTTAATACAAAACTTTCAAGTATCATCAGATAATTTCAACTTTCCTGAAAATGGTTCATTTTATTGCATCTTGCTTCAATGAGAAATCGCAATCTTTGACATCATCAATTTTCATAACAATGATCTAAGATTATGACATGAAAACATATTTTCTACTTTAAAAAGAAAAAGGAAAATATGACTATTTCAAATCAATTGTAATTTGCATAACAAACCTCCTCCTCATCTTTCCACAGCATGTAGAACTTTTCTTCCTCTTCCACCTCCTCTCCATCCATCTTTGGTTTGGGCGTTGGCTTCATCCAACCCATCTTTAGTGCATGTACCATTTGTCCAACCTGTGTCAAACACATACAGGTCAGTCTTTTATGTCTGCTATTCAGGCAAAACTGTGTCTTTCTTTAAGTGTTTCTACTCTTTTCTATCTGAAGCATGCTTTGTTCAAACTTCAAAATATTCATCAACAATGATTTGACAAAGTAATATTATAACAAAATAAAATGTATGAAACTTAGTAATGCAAATTTTTTAAATGTTTTTCATTCGTTCCACTACCTACCTTAAGTCGTTCCCACTTGGATGGGATGAAACTACGTTTGTCTTCAGGCCGGTTGGTCATTGGATGAATCATCACTTCTGATGTTTCAAAATCCACCCATGGCTGGAAAACAAAATTTTCTCTTTACAGCAGCAATTGATAAAGGGTAAAGAATGTGTACATTATTCAAGTCTATAGGACAAAACGTAGCCAACAGATACCATGAGGTCAGGTAGTTCTTCATTGAATCTTTAACATGTAGCACTGGTCTTCTACCCCTTTTTTGGTACCTCTCTTTATAGTGTATATATGTTAAAATACCTTCTTTTGTTTTCTAAGCTCCTTTGGTTAACTTCCTAACAAGAATGTACAGGTTGAAATATGTATACCTCATATTGGTTGTATACCCCCTAAGGGTGCCTCAATTGTAAGTATTCACTATATTTGATAACATACCTCATACTGGTTTTCTACCCCCTGTTGTACCTCCGTTATAAGTATTCACTATATATGATAACATACCACATACTGGTTTTCTACCCCCTGTTGTACCTCCGTTATAAGTATTCCCTATATATGATAACATACCACATACTGGTTTTCTACCCCCTGCTGTACCTCCGTTATAAGTATTCACTATATATGATAACATACCTCATACTGGTTTTCTACCCCCTGCTGTACCTCCGTTATAAGTATTCACTCTATATGATAACATACCTCATACTGGTTTTCAACCCCCTTGGGGTGCTTCCCCATCTGTAGCCTCTTTATGGTCGCCAGGTCTTCCTTACTAAGGACCACACTCTGGCCAGTCATCTTGTTGGTAACTGTTCTCCTATATAACAGAAATGTTGAACTTTTTTAATGTTTTTGTTGAAGAAACAAAGAATTTAAAACAGTAAATAGGAACAGTTTATATCATATTTACAGCAAACCACTGTAACTGTGATCGCTCTGTTATATAATAAACACTTTTAATGTGACATTCAATTTAAAAAAAAATGCTTTTTGAAAAATTTAGAATCGTATTAATTGAACATTTAAAAGTTTACTTTTGACATACCAGTAATCAGGATTGTCCATTTTGTTGAGGAACTCATCTAATTCATCCGCCTTTTTGGGTTTAATAATTTTCCTGCCCTCTACATCATAACCAAGATGGTCATAGTCTTTGTACCACTCCAATGGCACGTTTCCTACTGTGTTTCTGATATCCTGGAGTGAGAATCAAAGCAAGCTCATATGTACCGAGTACTTATATATACTTTATTACAGTGAGTGATTTGTATCTTTTCAGTTTTATTTTCAAAAGCCACAATTTGAATTATATGGTGCAAAATTTATTTTGAAAAAAAAATTGTCCAGACTCCCTACCATAAGTGTTATACTTATTCACTGTGCGATTGTTCTGAGTTCCAGCGAAAACTGTGAATTACATGTATAATGTCCAAGTTTTATGTGATTGTTACCTGTTAATTCAAGTGAAAGTTAAGTAATATAGACCATTATTACAGCACAGATATTGTCAAAGTTGTGAATTTGAGTTTTGTGCTTGTAGCAGCATTATGATATTAATAAAAAAATGTGATTTACAGAAAATTACAGTAATGCAAAAAGGATGTTTGTCAAGAAAATGTAGTTTTATCCTATATTGTCTGATCATACACAATTCTTTGACATTTTTTCACATTTCTACAATCAATGATTATTGTATCAATGTCCAGTTCTTACCTCTTCATCAGAAGAGTCACTTTCATATTCATCTCTCTGTGGAGTTGAAGATTCTGTTTTCATTGTCGCCTGTGCCGTACCAGAATTTCTAGATTTTGTGTGAGCTTTTATGTCAATAGCTTTCTCGAGAGAAGCCTCTTCATCTCTGTCACTGTCAGTTGATCCTCCCTCTAATGGTATACTACTGATATCTTTTTCAGCATCTCTTCCATCTGAAGAATTATAGCTATCATCACTGTCAGCATCCTAAAACAAAATATCAGAGACATGTCAAACAAATGTGAAATCATTTTAGATAGCATGCTAACAGATTAATTTTGATACACAAACTATACATCATCCTGACTGAAGGTAAGATTAGGTAATTTTTTTCATAACAGCTATTCCAGTCAAACATCTATCTCATATTAATTGTTTCTATCACATCTAGACTGTAAATGAGGCTATTATAGATATACTGTACCTCGTTGTCATTATCAGAATCTGTATCTGGTTCTTCTTCCAAACCCGAGTACACACTATCCTCAGAGTCTGTGTCAGCATCGCTATCAGATACATCTTTGAACAGGTTTACCTGTAATAAAGACTGAGATATTAATCTGAATAGGAATTATTGAATATCAGACACATGTTGTTAATATATATTTGCACACCAAATTTTATTAGCGTAGATATTGCAAGGAAACTGAAACATGACAAGACGGACGGACAAGCCCAAAGTAATATCCCCCAATTTTCTTTGAAAAGCTGGGGATAAATATAACTATTCATATATAGAATAAATGTTAGCAAATAAGTGTATATAATTAATTTGATGGACAAACAGGTGAGTCAGTGAAACAGAAGATTTTTTATCTAAAAACTCAATTTCCAGTGACTATGTTGATTTTCATCGTTGCAATTTTGGTAATAGCATCTTTATCACCTGTTTCTGAAGGTTAGACATGTTAATGATATTGTACCAAAACACCACATATTTCACTCCCTCTCGCCACATGAACAACTTTCATAGTTATCAATCACACTCGGAAGTATCTTCTGAAATCACACCTGAAGCGCAAATCTGCATCTTCAGAATGAAGACATTGATGACATATTGAATAGACACAGGCTTTGCTTTTATACTAACAAGGGACACATGTAGACGGGAAACAATGCACCGATTGGAATTCACCAAATCAATTAAAATTGTGTAATCATATCCTCCTGTTATCAGTTTCTGCTCACTTAAGAAACAGTAGCGATTTCTTACTCATATAAGTAGAAAACTGTTGAAATTACGGATGACTGTCAAAGACATGTACACAATCTACTAACGGAAACACGCGGAAACCTATGACTAGACGATACAATAATATTTTACTTCACCAACTCACCTAGCTGTTTGGTCAACAATTTTATCAACGTGCACAAGATTAAATATATAAATATGACCAGTAATTTAAGGTGATGTTTGTTAACATTCGTCCTATATACGTATAGTCATATTTGAATATATAGCCAAATCTACCTATATACATAAATGTAGACGGGTACAATGCCAGATTTGCCGGTGCTCCAGTAATTAACTGTTGATGTACTGTACTAGTACTAATATTAATACCTGGCCTCCTCTGCTCTGACGACGCAATATATAAACAAATTCTCTCGTCGTCAGAAAGCTACGTTATCGCAGCTAGTACATGTAGTGAACCCATGGCCAATGACAGTTAATTAAACAACCTGAGCATGAAATAGATGAAAACTGGGGGAAATCAACGGCAAACTATTGTTTTAGAGAAAATTACAGCTATGAAATACAGTATTTCGATAATTATTATGTTTATTATGAACTGACTGTCAAAGGATTGTAAATCCTGTACATGGTGATCATGTTTATCAGTTCATATTGTCAGAAAAAAATATTGTGTAGAAAATTGCAGCACAGTCGTTGTGGTATAGACACCCTTCCATTTCTTTTCTTTTGGAAATTGTTTCAACATCATAATTCGTATCTATCAATTACGAAATACATACAGGGTCTCCTTTAGGTTCTTCTAATGCTTCTCGTGTACGTTTTGTGGCCATGCTTGTTTTCTTCATGTTCTACATGTGCGTAAAAATAAGTACAAAGCAATCGATAACGTAGACAATATGCGTATTCGTCTCTCTGAAAAAATATTTTCATTTCTCTACCTGTTAACCTTCTAACATTAATAAACTTTATTGATAGTTCTGTATTAGTTTTTGTGAAATTGAGACATCGAAACAATGAGTCATTACTGATCATATTCTTCTGCACTTTATCGATTACTTTTTACGGCCAAAATAAAAGATTTCTTGCAAGAGACATAACTCTAATTGAAGAGCGTCGGCCGATTTGCACATGTAATATTATATATCCGGCTTATATTTGCTGTAAGTGTAGGAATTGGTGTGTTTATTGATAATCGTGCAATTACTGCCTTTTTGTTTACCGGATGTTCTCTATGTGACTAGCACCTTCCTTGTATATCCTCATTTAAATAGAACTTGAGCCAGAAAATGGCATCAATATTATTATTATGAATATTGTATATATCTAACAGGTCCAGTACACTCTGCCGATTGAGCTATATAGCTGTAAAGACCTATAATAGCTCTATTGACCTATCTGAAATAGGTCTTTGGAGCTATTTTCAAGTGATTTTCTTTTTTAAGGAAAACGAAACAAAGTCGCTTTTAAAAGAAGACTATATCATTAGGTTGATAACAAAAGACATTAAATATAAGGATTCTTTAAAAAAAATAATGATGTAAAAAAATCGGAAATTTTACATTTATGAAAAATGAAAATAAACATCTAACTGTATGCTTTTTGTAGTCAACATTACCATAAACCTTATTGTTTATATGCGACTTTTTTTTAATTTAATGAAAATTGAAATCTTAGAAAATATAGCTCAATACAGCTATAATTTATAGGTGTATATAGCTATATAGGTCTTTATAGCTATATAGCTCAATCGGCAGAGTGTACTGGACCTGTTATAGACGCAGAGGATGTCAAACATTTTGAAATTTTACTGGACAATCACTGGGAAAATACCAACAAATAATTAACTAATTTTATATATATGATAAAGGACATGTTAATTGTACACCAGAAGTATATCATCCTGTAAATATTGTAATATCAACTGATATGGACACAGAGGCTTACAGCCTGCGTCCATTATTTATCGTATTAAATCGTATTAAAGTACATGTACAATAGTACTGTAAAAGGCTAAAACGTTAGTCCAAGTGCCTAATATCTTATCGAAGCCATTTTTATAAGTACCATGACAAACGCACATTCAAGACGTTTCGGGACTTTCACTTCGTCGTTCTGTTGAATTGAAATCAATATTCATGCAACTTATATAAAATAAGTAAAGAGCAGGTGAGCATTTCAGGCCCCTTAACCTTTTGTTTTTCTTGCCCATCACCTTTTTATTAAACTGCAAATTGAAGTATCAAAAATTTAGTAGATTTCAGCCAACTTCAATGAAAATTAATGAATTATGTGACATCACATGTATTGTCAATTTAATGCATCCTTTTCATTGTTTCTGTAACAGTACATTATTGTTGTGAGAGTGAATGTCGGGATTTTACTGGTTGATTGTTAAATAACACTGGCATTAGAGCAAGTGGTGACACACAGTACCTGCTAGTGAATGATGGAGAGAAATGGAAGGTGTTAAATGAGTGAATTGAAATGAAATTGAGTTTTTGAATGCTGTTTTTCAGATGATGAAAGATTGCTTTTTTGATAATTATTTTTAACTTACAAATTTCCTTTTAGATAATTCAGTAAACTAACAAAACAAGAATGGATCACGATTTGAAGGACTACCTGAAGACAGCTGTAGAGGTAGCAAGGAACGCTGGTGATGTATGTATAATACTGCTTTATTTTTAGGGAAAAAAATAGATCTTTTCATGGGCATTTTCACTCCAACCATTCCACCCCACTTATAGCTATCTCTACTTGGGAATGGGATGAGGGGCCAAAAGCATTTTTAAGGAAAAAGTGTTGAGTATTAAAGGCAAAAATGAAGATTCGGTCAATGTTTGAGGAAAAGGGAATTAACACATTTTTGTCTCAAAAGGGAGGGGGAAACACCCTGCTGTTATAGCCTAGAATAGGGATGTTCACCTTTTATATGGAATTTCCAGTATTTACTACACATGGACTGTTTGTAACAGTAGACTTTCCTTTAATAACAGGTAAAGTAACGCGCTACATTAAAAGACACCAGCAAGCTCACTTTAGCAAATTAATTACATTGCAAATGATGAGAGGATTAAAGAATATAAAATGGTTTCCCATTGAATTTATTCATTGGAAAACCGTTGAATTTTCTGTTCATCACATTTCCTGAAATGGTGGAAGATTATGGTATGTCAGGATGATATTAATGACATATGCATGTTACCTTTGTATTGATATGTTAGTTGACTTATAGGTATCTTCACTGACCAAATCTCTTTTTATCATAAACAGTATACACTGTCTGAACTGGACTGTCCAATCCATATTTAGACTGTACTCTTTAAATCCTCATATTTCAGTAGTAAACAAATACTTTAATTGCTGCACTTATGCAGGTGCCGTGGCAACATTTTATATATAATCCTACCTAGTACATTGTTAGTCTGAACACTTTGGTTGTAAGAACAGTCTTAGTTGAATAAATATAATGTTAAGTTTAATTTCTATTCAGATGGTAAAGAAGGCCTACGATGTAGATAAGTCAGTAGTCACAAAAGAATGTTATGCTGATTTAGTGACAGAGACTGACCAAGCTGTCGAGAGGATGATAATAAAGTCACTGGCTGAGAAGTACCCCACACACAAGTAGGTGTCAAATAGTGTCTATTTGTTAGCTCACCTGGCCCAAAGGGTCAAGTGAACTCATGCCCATGGTGCATAAATTGTCTGTCATCTGTGTATTTGACATCTTTTTGTTCACTTTAAATGACTTGTTTTGAAAAACCAGTAAATTACCTTGATCCACTTTCAAGGTCACAGGGTCAAATGTGTTACCAGTAAATGCATCAAACAACATCTGAATAACCAAGAGGCCAAGGAGATGATATTTGGCCAGTAGCTTGCTGGGTTGAAGGCTATCAAATTTGTTCAAATAAATGACTTTGACCCACGTTTAAAATCTTCAATCAATATTGTCTGAGGCCTAGAGAGATACTAGGATAGATATAACACTAAACATTAGATAAGTAACCAGTAACAATCTGCTCCTATACACTCAGTGCTAAAACTATAAATTCTCTGATGCTCTTAAATTTCAAATAATTCAAAAACCTGTCAACACTTCCACATTTAAATTTCTCAAAAGTACAGTATTGAACTGAAATTAATTTTAGACAGGAAATACAAGCATGAATCACTTATTATTTTGCTAATTAGTAATTGACATCCTCAGTTTAAGACAAAACAGCATACTGGTAATTAACTTATCTTGATTTATATATATTGCTAGCGAGTGAGATCTCACATAGTAATTTATATCATATTAGATGTAAACTGTTATTAATAGGATATCATTTCGTTAAATTTATCTCGCCTATTTCATTGGAATTATATCCCAGGCTTGGTATTTTTAGGGCCTGACCAGGTATGACCAAACTACATATGTATAATCTATGGTGTCCTATAATCACATGCTTAGGTAAAATACATATGCCAAAAGAAATTGTCATGTCATCCAGGGATGGTGAAGTTATAATATACATGAATGACCACCCCATGGATCCATGGTTGAATTTTGTGAGTATGTTCCTGGAAAGAAATTAAGGGCTATCAGCTTAATTAGTTATAGTTTTCTAATCGGTACCACATTTAATGTGTACTTTTCACCTACTTATAATAATTATCATATACAATAGAATGGCAAAGTGTAACAGTTGATGTTTTGTAGGTTTATTGGAGAAGAATCAGTGGCAGAAGGCAAGAAGTGTGACTGGACTGATGCTCCTACCTGGATCATTGACCCCATTGATGGAACATCTAACTTTGTCCATAGGTATAGTAGTTGTAAAATATCTTTTTTAATAAACACTGCCGTTTACTATGGAATCCTGGTTAGTGTTTAAGTGGAAACAAAACAAAGTGACAGATTTGATCTGGTGTCAGTAAAGTCATATTAGACTGTACCAGTTTCATTGTTCTCTTGATACTTTTGTTCCACCAAATGTTCCTCCTCTGGCCTTTTAAAATCAATTTATCTGGTGCTGAATTAACCCATACTTACATATTGGTACTGTAGACTGTATGCATTATATGTTTTGCCTCTCTCTGGCAAAAATGAAACTTGGGCAAAAGCCAAATATTTCCCAGTTTCTAGTATTTCTGGGTAGTAAGGATGCGGACCAGACACATGTATTCCCTTATGTAGTAGATACCAGCTATATCAGTTTGATTTCCTCTGTTTCAGTATTGCTCACAACTGTGTATGTATTGGCCTGGGAATTAACAGAAAGGTGAGCTAACAGATTCCGTATATCAAAGTTTGATTTTGATATTGAAGTCTTTGCAGCACAGTTTACTTTCTATTCCATATCTTTCTTATATAAAGATAAATATTCAATACAAATCATTTCTCATTTTAATAAGTCCACTAAATCATCCCAGAAAATGCCAACAAATCTAATAAAATTCACAGAACACATCTAGTTTAGCTGGTTTCCAAGAAATGGTGTCAATTGTTGCACAAGGAGTATCGCCAAAGGTCGCTCTACAAGAGTGCACCAGACCATCTAAAATCAACATTAGGACATTTAGGGCTTTAAAAACAGGAAAATTAAAACTTTTTGATCACTTTTGTATTGTTTTATGTAGTTTATTTACTGAAACCAAATACAAATAAATTGTTTAGTCGCATATTTTTCCTTTTGAAATTGCTGTTCGTTGTCAAGCTGATCATACACAGATTCGCAGGATGCATGCAAACTGGTCATTGAGGAACAGTGCTGTAGCAAGAAATGTCAACAAACTGGTCATTGAGGACCAGTGCTGTAGCAAGAAATGTTAACAAACTGGTCATTGGGGACCATTGCTGTAGCAAGAAATGTCAACAAACTGGTCATTGAGGACCAGTGCTGTAGCAAGAAATGTCAGCAAACTGGTCATTGAGGACCAGTGCTGTAGCAAGAAATGTTAACAAACTGGTCATTGAGGAACAGTGCTGTAGCAAGAAATGTCAACAAACTGGTCATTGAGGACCAATGCTGTAGCAAGAAATGTCAACACACTGGTCATTGAGGAACAGTGCTGTGGCAAGAAATGTCAGCAAACTGGTCATTGAGGAACAGTGCTGTAGCAGGAAATGTCAACAAACTGGACATTGAGGACCAGTGCTGTAGCAAAAAATGTCAACAAACTGGTCATTGATGAACAGTGCTGTAGCAAGAAATGTCACCAAACTGGTCATTGAGGACCAGTTCTGTAGCAAGAAATGTTAACAAACTGGTCATTGAGGGACAGTGCTGTAGCAAGAAATGTCCACAAACTAGTCATTGAGGACCAGTGCTGTAGCAAGAAATGTCAACAAACTGACAGAAATTCTCTGATATGGATATGATCCATCAGAATGTGTTTGGGAAATGTGGTAACTTTCCACAATTAGTTGCATGTCCTTTAATCAATTTGAACAAAACAAAGATCTACATTGTACTAAGTATTGTCATAATAGACATTAGGTAGTTTTGTTGGTTTGTGTGAGAAATCAACCGGTGAAATTTGTTGAATACAATCACACAATATTATTGAAAGTGAATTGAGACCATTAAAACCCTTAAAATGCACCAAAGTTCTTACAGATGTCACAAATAATATTAACGCAAGCAAACTGTCTCCAAGTTGATGAATTCATTTTGTAAGGTAGTATCCCTTGTTATATGGAGGCTGCCCTTCCCACGCCTTCACTGTTATTCTCGAGGCTTTATCCAATATGGCGGCCTGATTTTATCATTCATAGCAATGCGACAGAAAAGATGACATACACGTTTGAACATGCCTGGCCATTCATTTCTGGAGAACGCTAAATTAGAATCTTCCTAAAATCACAACTTGAAAAAATCCTTTATGTACAAACAATTAGTAAAATTAACCATAAAAATTTACAATGATAAGACATTTAGAAAGGTTATATATGGGCATGCTATTCTGGAGTGACCTGGCAAGTTTGCCTTAATAGTTTACCTATTGAATTGTTATTAATGTTCGACGGTGTAGTTAAATATCTCGGGTATGAATGTTTACTGTTACAGATAGTGGTCGGTGTGGTTTACCTCCCTATAACCAATCACATGTACACTGCTGTGAAAGGTCAAGGGGCATTTTGTAACGATCAGAAAATATCAGTGTCAAAAACATCAGGTGAGTACAGCTTTAACTTCTGGTCTGAAATTGGGACAGATCTGCAAGAGACTCATTTATCTTAAAATATAGGCTTGCATTTATCTTAAAATGTAGGCTTGCAAATCAATTTACTGCAATATTAATGTTGTGAGTGTTTAGTTTTGCAGTTTCCAACGGCTGTGAAAAACATGAAAATAAAACCACCACAAAACTTGCTTGTTATAAAGCAGAAGTGTCCCTGATACTGTAAATAGGTTTTTGTTTTGTGAGATAGTCATTTTCAAAACAATTCAAGAGAAGAATCATATAATTAATAGGATATTCAATTACCGGTAAGATACATTTCAAGAAGGTAGCTGTAGCATCTTTTGCTAATTCAAATTCTCATGAGTTAGTGGGTAAACAGTAGTGAGATTTAATATTTGTAAAATTAAAATTCAACTGCATTACACTGCTTGCCTGTATAGGCCTGTGTAGTCTTTAAACAAATTCTACCTTGTTAACAGATCTGAAGAATGCAGTGGTGTACACTGAGGCAGGTAACAGCAGACAGCCCGACTCCGTCCTCACCAAGATTGATAATATGAAAAACATAGTCTTTGCTTCACATGGGTATGTCAAACAGGGTTCTCGTCTTACGGAATCTAGTAACCAAATACAAGTCTGTGGGTCTTCCTCATAACTTATTTATTTAATATTATTGCAAAGACCTGAAACACAAAGACAACACTTCGTTAAAACGGACTATACACTTGGACACTATACACATACAGGAACTCATACCAAATCGAACACAACCTCGGTCACACAGACATTCCCATTCACACCGACACTATGCTTACCAGGCTCCCAGGTTCTTCTATGGATATAGTATATTTGCTTTGTAGCTATATGTAATATGCTTAGACAACTAACCCTCACAAGTCACAGTTGTTGAATGATCAATGGAGGAAAAGAGGTTTACCAGGAAAGCTTAGTGCGAAGGCGCAGTGAAAGTAGGAGAGACATGTGTGTCGCTCGTCAAATGTCACTTGTCAGCACTTCATTTGTCAGATGAAGCGTGAATGTCTGAGGTCAGAGATAACACCACAATATGATACATGAGTACAGTTCATATAGGTACATGGGGACATCACACGACAACATATACGTATAATTACGCTACACTGTATATAGAATGAAGAATTTCATTATTGATATAAACGTTAACTCACATTGTTAACCCTTTCACCACTGTTGACCATAATGGACTCATCCATATCAATGCATGATAATGTCTATTAAGTTGCATAGGGGTGAAAGGGTTAATTAAAACCTGGATGCTAATTCCCATCATTGTTTTGGTATCTATGCCACAGTTAATCAGATGGAAATTAATAACTATTCTAATCCCAGTAATTATTACCATTCATCTATGTATAGTGTTCAAATAATGAAATCATTACTCTACTAGATATCGATGCAGAAATCAACACAGTTCTATTTCCCTCACTAAGATTCAGCAATATAGGGTTGAATTATATCAAATGTAAGAAGAAGAATGAAGATTTTTATAATGACTGACTTCTACATTTGCATGACACTGTTTTCTAATTTATATAACAGAATCCGCTGTTTGGGTTCCGCGGCTATCAACATGTGTATGGTGGCTCAGGGCAGTGGAGATGCATACATTGAGTATGGAATCCATATCTGGGATATTGCAGCCTCTGGTATCATTGTAGAAGAGGCAGGCGGGGTTCTCATGGACCCATCAGGTATACATGTAATTCAGTCTCAAGTAGAAGCATTGTCACCGAGTTAACAGAATCCTAAGGTAGAGTTGGCATCCATATTTCACAATGAATTTAGTATCCTAAAAAATGTGTGACTTCATTAATCAAATATGCTGAAAGTTCATGTTTTGTTCCATCTTAAAGTATGTTAACTCATGCTCTATTGGCCATTTAATTCATATAATGCTGCTGATCTTTATATAAGTACTTGCACTAATGAAGCCATGCTCTACTGCTTCATACTTTACACTTGCTCTAGTTCACTGCAATTACTAAAGTAACTCACTTCCCTGTTTCTCTATACCAAATGTCTCAATACACCATATTATTGCTCTAGTCCACTGTCCAAATACACTACTGTTATTATAGTCCACTGTCCCAATGCACTGTACTGTTTCTCTAGTCCATTGTACCATTAACATTGTACTATTTCTCTTGTCCACTGTACCATTTACACTGTATTGTTTCTCTAGTCCACCGTACCATTAACATTGTACTATTTCTCTAGTCCCCCGTACCATTAACATTGTACTATTTCTCTTGTCCACTGTCCCATTACCCTGTATTGTTTCTCTTGTCCACTGTACCATTTACATTGTACTATTTCTCTAGTCCACTGTCCCATTACACTGTATTGTTTCTCTAGTCCACCGGACCATTAACATTGTACTATTTCTCTTGACCACTGTCCCATTACACTGTATTGTTTCTCTTGACCACTGTCCCATTACACTGTATTGTCTCTCTAGTCCACCGTACCATTAACATTGTACTATTTCTCTAGTCCACCGTACCATTTACATTGTACTAATTCTCTTGTCCACTGTCCCATTACACTGTATTGGTTCTCTTGTCCACTGTCCCATTACACTGTATTGTTTGTCTTGACCACTGTCCCATTACACTGTACTATTTCTCTAGTCCTTTCTCTAGTCCATTGTACCATTAACATTGTACTATTTCTCTTGTCCACTGTACCATTTACACTGTATTGTTTCTCTAGTCAACCGTACCATTAACATTGTACTATTTCTCTAGTCCACCGTACCATTAACATTGTACTATTTCTCTAGTCCACAGTACCATTTACATTGTACTATTTCTCTTGTCCACTGTCCCATTAACATTGTACTATTTCTCTTGTCCACTGTCCCATTACACTGTATTGTTTTTCTTGTCCACTGTCCCAATACATTGAACTAATTATCTTGTCCACCGTACAATTAACATTGTACTATTTCTCTTGTCCACTGTCCCATTACCCTGTATTGTTTCTCTTGTCCACTGTCCCATTACACTGTATTGGTTCTCTTGTCCACTGTACCATTTACATTGTACTATTTCTCTAGTCCACCGTACCATTTACATTGTACTAATTCTCTTGTCCACTGTCCCATTACACTGTATTGTTTTTCTTGTCCACTGTCCCAATACATTGAACTAATTATCTTGTCCACCGTACCATTAACATTGTACTATTTCTCTTGTCCACTGTACCATTACACTGTATTGTTTCTCTTGTCCACTGTCCCATTACACGGTATTGTTTCTCTTGACCACTGTCCCATTACACTGTATTGGTTCTCTTGTCCACTGTCCCATTACACTGTATTGGTTCTCTTGTCCACTGTCCCATTACACTGTATTGTTTTTCTTGTCCACTGTCCCAATACATTGAACTAATTATCTTGTCCACCGTACCATTAACATTGTACTATTTCTCTAGTCCCCCGTACCATTAACATTGTACTATTTCTCTTGTCCCCTGTCCCATTACACTGTATTGTTTCTCTTGTCCCCTGTCCCATTACACTGTATTGTTTCTCTTGACCACTGTCCCATTACACTGTACTATTTCTCTAGTCCACTGTCCCAATACATTGAACTAATTCTCTTGTCCACTGTCCTGATTTACTGTACTGTTGCTCTAGTTCATAACTTCTGCTTGCATTGTTTCGCAGGCCTAGTATATGTTTCAACTACTGATAGAGACTGTTTTGTGTTTCCAGGGTCTGAAGTGGACTTTCTTAGCCGTGGGGTCCTATGTGCCTGTTCCCGCAGCATTGCTATTGAAATCAGCAAAATCATTAAACCAGTGGAATTTGAACGAGACTAAAGATTTAATTTTAAAGGAACATTTTGTCCAAGATATGTATGTTTCTTTACAAAAATTGTATGGTACTGCTATACAATTTATAAATATAAATTCGATAATATTTTTATGCAAATATAACAGATTTTTGCCTTGTTATCAGATGGTTGAATATTTGATACTATTCCTACATACATTTTATATCCAATTGTATTTAAATATGAAGATTCAAGCCTATCTGATAGGCCCCTAAAAATGCATGCCATATCCAACAATTTGATCATGAGACTAACGAAAATTGCTTCAGAAAAATTCCTCATAGCGTGAGACACATTTCAATCGGTCTCACGAAAAGAAACAAAGTTTGGTCAATCTTAGTGAATAAATAATGGCTACATGGATTCACACTGACCTTGCTCACAGAGAGGTCTAAAGTCATAGGCCAGCCACTTAAATTACGGGCCAGGCCGATTAGTAAAAATGACATGGCACATTTTTTTGTTTGAAAGATAATTTCAATGGTCAAAAATGTTTGTGTACTGACTAGTGCATGTTTGAAGCACTGTACACACCAAAGTGGGCTGGGCAACTCATCTGTTGTACGCATATCTTGATGTGGGAAACAAATTTTAGGAAAGTTCATCATTCTTAACTTGCAGTTTCAGTTTGTAATGGCCTTATTGAGTAAATTTATAGTTCTTGATAGGAAGATTGAGCTTGGTTTTATCGAGTTAACAGAGCTTTTCAGTAATCATCAAAGAAACATTCCCAGTTGTTATATATCAGGTATTGTATTCAGTAGTCTGGTTTACTACTGAATCAATTAAAACTATAATAAATGCAATAGCATGATATCGTCAAATTCTGAAAGTTCTATAATGTCTACTTATTTAGCTCACCTAGACCGAAGGACCAAGGTGAGCTTATGCCACACCGTGGCGTTCGTCGTCCGTACGTCAACAATTTCTTTAAACGACTTATCCTTAACCACTGATTGGAATTCAACTAAATTTGACTGGAAGCATCCCTAGGTGGTGGGGATTCAAAATTGTACAAATGGTGGGGCTATAAGTTCTATAATGTCTACTTATTTATAATTCTTTTACAGACTACTACACTGTCTAAGGCCAATCATTCTGTGTACCACTGGGATATAAATCCAGTGGCTGCCAGTCTAACCATTTATCATTGATCACACTTAGATGAAATCATGGATGATCACCCAGATGTCATGGTTGTGTTCAGAATGAGAAGTATGAACGATTATCACAGAATACATCATGTGATCATCTTTTTATCATCTTTATACTATAGTACTGTTTGTATGTGTGACAGAATTTTTGAGGCAGCCAAAGAGTGCAGTGTACTTCATGTTAGGTGCTCCAGACTTCCCTCATTTGATCTGATTTCTTTTGATCTCCGACTGTTTTAGATAATACATTATCAAGGAACGATTACATGATTGTCAAGTTTTGTTGTTGCAATAGTAGTTTCCTCATCATAGTAAAATGTTTGGTAAGTAACGTTGTAGTATATGTAATATATGCAGTGGTTTTGGGAGCACATCTTGGCTGTGGTTGAAACGGTTGAACCGGTTGAACTTGTAAAGAAAACGACAGGCACAGATAGATCTGAACCAAGGCTGGCCTCAGAAAAATTTGGCACGTGTAGATTAAGGGGTCCAGACATACCTGACCGAAACTAAAATGCTGACTATGTAGTTTTTAAGATACGTTATGTAATTTAATGGACGGATGAAAGAAGGGCATACTATTCTTGATACATTGTTTTTATTCTCCGAAACTGTGCATTTTTAGCTCTGCTTATAGAACAGTCCAAGTGCGTTCGTTTATCGTGGAATATTTCTGCGCCACACGTACCGTTTCAACCGGGATACGGGAATGTAGCCCGTGTCTTTGTGACCTCAATTTGACCTTGACATTAAATACTACATTTGCGGTTTCCAATGCATATCCCTTCTACTGTTTCATGATTTGGCATCAAACATTGTGTTTAGGTACATCATGGGAAGGTGGTATGTCACATCCTAAAATAAGGTCAGTGTGACCTTAATTTGACCTGTGACGTTGACCAAAAGTCCTTAAATACGATGTAATACAGGATTCCCCAGCATATCTTAGTCACTGTGAATGAATGGGCTTCAAACTTTGTAGATATGCAGTGAACAGGGGTATCCATGAAGCCCACACTTCAAGTTAAATTTTGTTTAAAAACAATTACAATTATTGTTAATGAATATATTTTGTATTATCTGTTGTTAATCTTTTGAAGATGATCATTATTGTGTATTTTACAACTCTATACAAATTATACAAATTAATCTACAATGAAGTTTTCAAAAGTAGAGAATTTGTATAACAATTAAATATTTTAAATTTTCTGAACCTTAAAAAGGCTTTACTGTAATTGTTAGTTTGTGATTTTTTTTCAATCTCCTTTACATATATACATCTTTTTCTAAACAATGTTGTATCTTTACAGTTGATCTAAAATAACTGTTAAAAGTTGTATGTGTATATGTTTTAGTATGTTCAAAAGACATATAACTGGTTATTTCTGTAGGTAGGTATAGTATTTGCATATTGTGTGTTAATTATTTAGCATTATTTTTAAAAGCCGTGTGGATTTAAAGTGAAAGCTATTTTAATATGAACACCAGGTAATATGTATTTTACGTTTGCAATGAAGGAATTAAAAATGAAGTAAAAACCAATTACAACTTGAAATTCATATAATCTTGGTTTAATTAAAAGTTGTTGATTTTTTTTTAAATTTACGTTTTCAGGAAATTTAAGCGAAAATTTGCAGCTGCAGTAATAACCAGTTGAATCATAGATGGTATATATGATGTGAATATTTCTATAATACATGCTGTATTTAGTAGTAAGGTAAACTGTGCTAGCAAGACACAGAAAAATGTAGACCCAGCAGTACATTAGTACAACTGAAAATTTGATAATATATTTGTATAGGAATAAATAATAAGTAAATAAACCATAATTATAGTTTCACTAGTCAGATACCAAACATGAGAAACGGGGCATTAGATTATATTAAACCATTATGTGCTAGGAAAGTCGGTGTTGTCTGTTTAACCCAGTTTGGTTCATTTATTTTTTATAAGCACATCTGAACCAAAGGACTGGTGAGCCTATAGCATCTGTCAATCTTTTTCTTAACAACTTTATCGTCCTGAATGACTGATCACAGTTCAACCAAATTTACCATGGGGTATCTTTGAGATAAGATAATCAAACACTGGAGAGAGAAAAGGTGTGGTCCTCCTGGGTGGGCGGGGCTGAGGTATGTGACCGAGTCAGCAATACTGGTCGATTTCATCCTTCAGAAGACTACATCTCCTACAGGGTTCATGGGATTTCAACCAAATTTAGCATTTAATATAAGTAGGACAAGGAAATCAAGGTCACCACAATAAGACTGTGTTTAACATATGTGTAATGATGTTATTGAAACTCCTATAAACTATTTGATGTTAAATATTTGTTGATATGGACCTAAAGACTTTAAGCCTTTGTCCATTATTCTTTAATTTAATTTTTAACCATGTAAGATGTACACTATTGCTGTGAATAAGGAGACAAACATATCCTGCCAAAATTGGCCCCAGCATCTTACCCGCCCCTGGAAACTTAGACCTTAAATCATAATTTGGAAACAGTTAAGAGCTGTCCCCTATTTAATGGTTTGCTAGGCATTAAGAGTTGAACATGAACATAAAAGCTACCAGGATAAGCCCAGGAGTCTGGCCCCATCCCTGAGGAATAAGTCCAATTGAATTTTTTCTGTGTTAAAATCTCTCTAACATACTTTGGTATTTTATATTTACTATAGGTTAAGCAAATGTGCCATTTCTTTCCGTAATCAAAGTGGTATTTTCGTTGTTCATGTATATCTATTTGTTGTAATGTATATCCTGTAATGTATGCAGAGCGTGATTCATATATTGTTTTTGTGTTTACTTTCCTTGAATGGCTTGATTGATATCTACCAGAAAATGTTTTAATCAATTATATTTCTATGTATAATGTTTTGTTTACATTTCCATGTAAAATATCTTCATTGGTATTCTATTTAGGAAATCCAGCACGGAAGTCACGTTATTATTATTAAAGACATTAACAAGAGATAGATATCTAATTTATAATGCATATAATGCAGTATTTGTCTCTAAACACCATCTACCACAGATTTTGTTTTATATTGCTTTTGATTGGTGGGAATATCATTAATTTGAGTCGTCCTAATCTAATGCTAGAAATTCTTCCTACATTTACCACGAAGAATACATCTGCAAATTTTCATATTTCTAAATGAGGCAATACCTGCCACTGAAATACGGTAGTGGTTAAACTGTATATCTGGAGTATCTTTAAAAGAACTATTGCCATAGTGCAAAGATTTCAGTCATGCTAAGAAATCGCTTTTTAATATAGTCGTAACACTACAAATACTACATTTCAAATATAAAATTTCAATTAAATGTTGATTAGGCAAAACGACTGTTTAATATCTTTTCTAAATGTCAAAACGGTCTCCCAAGAACTAGTCGTATTTAGTCCCTTAATATATATTATACATTAGCTTAATCAAGTTTTTTATTGTATTTTTATCAAGAAGATAAAAACAACTTACAAAAATATCACATTTGTATGTCAGAAGGTCAGGCATAGCTCAGTTCGTGAAGCAGCTTGTTGTCAGAAGGAGCTTGCTTAGTGTTAGGAAGCTGTTATGACATTTTAATGGTGCGTATCCTGACCTCATGTTTTTTTCTGTTTAATTTACAGGGTAACAAAAACGTTGATGAGGACATAAAGTTACATAGTAATATGTCAGTTACAATCAGTCAAGGGCCTTATGTCACTTTAGTTGAAAGAAACCACATTGAACTCTAAATCTTTTAGAGGAACTATATAGTCCATACAATGGTACACTCAGCACAACGTCTATTTATTCTATATTAACACAGCATGGTAATCTGATTTAATTTACACCTTGCTAAATAACTTAGGTTAAACTATAAGTTTAAAATGGAAATCACATTATATTGTAATAAATTATATTTGTTGTACTTTGACTCTTTTTTCTTTTTGACTACAGTACTTAAGATCAAACGTACAAGACTATTTATCAACTAAGGTTGACCCAAGTATACTTGCATGGAAATGCAGTGTTTGAACCATAAAACAGGGGCAAGGCCTATTCAGAGCATAGTGTACAAGGCTCTGTACAGGACATAGCATCGGATGTATTGATGTATATGATCTAGGAGCGAATTCCTTCATGTAAGACACATATTGTTTCCCTCATTGGGATGCTCCATGACTTATCCCACATTGGAGATTATAACAATGTCTGGTGATAGCGAACAAGGTAGTCAGAAATTTGTGTCATGTATAGGTGTCAACCTCTGAAACCTCCAATGAGGGAGATCTCCCTCATTCAACATTTCGAATGAGGGAGAAAGTGTGTGAAACGCTACTGAAGCCGATCAAACTCAAACTTCATGCAGTGCTTCCTTACCAAAAGTGCTTGCTTAGGATTGCTTTTCAGGTCCGAAGGTCAAGGTCACTGTTACTATAAATAGAAAATCTGTTTTCCTGCGATAACTTGAGGTTTCTTGGGCCGATCAAACTCAAACTTCATGCAGTGCTAAGCACAATCTCCCAGCTTCCTGCACAGGTGACACATCCACTTCCGTGGAATTCTTGTTGATTTTGTTGTCCGGAGATCTCCTACATTTTTTGACTGTTTTCTTTGAATCTTAGTAGGCTAAATAATCATCTGTTGTTGTGTTTCCTTGAAAAGAATTTTCATTCAACAATTTTTGCAAAAGCTTGCCCTTTGTTTATTTCAGTATTTGTTTTTTTGTCCGGCAATCTCCGCCTACATTTTTCAACGGATCTCTTTGAAACTTGGTATACATTATAATCATGATATGAAATTGTTTCTGCCTTAAAAACATTTTGATTCAAGGATTTTTGCAAAAGTTATTGCCCTTTGTTCATTTCAGTATTTGATTTTTTGTCTGGAGATTTTCTACGACCTTTTTAGCTCACCTGGTCCGTCGTCCGTCGTTCATCCGTCCGTCCGTCCGTCCATCCGTCGTCCGTCCGTCAACTTTTCCTTTAAAACGCTACTAGTCCTGAACGGCCAAGTAGATTTTGACTAAATTTGGTCTACAGTATCCTTAGGCCTAGGGGACTCAATTTTGTATAAACGGTAGGTGTGGCCCCCCTGGGGGCAGAGGGGCGGGGCCCAATAGGGGAAATGGAGGTAAAACCTTGAAAATCCTTCTACCGTAGGGATTAAAGGATTTTATCCTAATTTAGTCTGGAGCATCCTTGGGCCAAGGGGACTCAATTTTGTATAAATGGTGGGTGTGGCCCCCCTGGGGGCTAGGGGATGGGGCCCAATAGGGGAAATATAGCAAATTCTTTAAAATCCTTCTTCTTCTGTAGGAATGCAAGAATTTGTTCCATATTTCGTCTGAAGCATCCTTGGGTGAAGGGGAATCAATTTTGTATAAACCATGGGTCTGGCCCGCCAGGGGCCTGAGAGGTTGGGCCCAATAGGGGAAACATAGCAAAATATTCTTTAAAATCCTTCTTCTTCTGTAGGAATGAAAGGATTTGGTCCATATTTGGTGTGGGGCATCCTTGGGTAAAGGGGAACCAATTTTGTATAAACGGTGGGTGTGGCCCCCCTGGGACCTGAGGGGCGGGGCCCAAAAGGGGGAATAGAAGTCAAACCTTTATAACCCTTCTTCTACCATATGGATTGAGGGATTTTATCCTAATTTAGTCTGGAGCATCCTTGGACAAAAGGGACTCAATTTCGTATAAACAGCGAGTGTGGCCCACTTGGGGATAGAAGGGAGTGGCCCAATAGGGGAAACATAGCAAATTCTTCAAATACCTTCTTCTTCTGTACGAATGACAGGATTTTGTCCAAATTTGGGGCAGAAGGGCGAGGGGCAATAGGAGAAATAGAGGTAAAACCTTTAAATCCGACCATCATGATTAAGGGATTTTTTCCATATTTAGTCTGGAGCATCCTTGGACCAAGGAGTCTCAATTTTGTATAATTGGTGGTTATGACCCCAGGGGCATAGGGGTGGGGCTCTGTTTGAAGTTTGTTCTCGCTATATCTCAAGTACTGGATGGATCTTTCTGGAAATTTCATATGTACTTACAGCACCTACCATTGAGTGCTTTATCTTTACTTCATACCAATTATTTTAAACATATTCAGGTGAGCGATATAGACCCTCTGGGCCTCTTGTTTTATAGCATGTCGGCTAATCACTCTTAGAATGATGCAGATCTTTTTTCAATGTAAGAAAGTATATAACACTACATGTCATTCAACGGGCGTATATTGTTCCGCCCCGCGGTACTCTTGTTATGTTTCAAAATAACTCTAAAAGCATTCATTTGATTCAGACACACCTGTTATGATCATTACACACACCCTGCAGTAACTTGACCATTTGACCACAGGATGTAGATTTTGAGTTTGGACTTATATGAAGGAGCTCCGAGGGAGATTGGTAAAATTTGGATAAAATGAGGGAGGGTTTACAGCTATGGACATGTCCAAGTAGTAAAAAATCAGTAACTTTGTTCATTTAATATCTGTTCACACCTTTTCCAAGACAATGTCTTCTACAAAATAATTTCCTTATGAAATTTCAGATCAGATATGTTTATCACGACCAGATTGTGTAGAGCCGTACCCTAAATGTCAAGGACAAGATTGAATCTCTTCTGAACTTCTTTTCTTTAAAATGTTATATGTGCATCTTGAGGTCCTGACACTTAAAGTATAAGTTATAACAAGGGATCAAAAGTTAAATTATTGTTATCTTTTTCCAGACCCTAAATCTGAAAGTGCCGTGCAACACTTTTAAGTTTGTACCCTATAGGTCAAAGTCAGTGTAAGGTGTCAAAGGTCAAATCATTGTTACTTCTATGGACCATCATTGTTTTCACATTTTCTTACAAAACTTCACATACTGTATATATAGTTGGTTATATCCGCTAGGCAAAATTTCGTGATTATCCCGATCAGAACCAAGTTCACTGGGATCAAAATCTGCACAACATGACCAAGTATAAATATCCCACTCTTGAGGGTACTTTAGTATTTAGGTGATGGGATTTTTTTACAAAGTTTTGTCAAAATAAAGTCACTTTACAATGTATTGAATAGTTTTATCTTGAAAATTCAGCAGTAAATGGTGACTGTATACATGTATATATTCAGAGATTATATTTCATGGTACTGTATTACTATTTGCGGGGTATTTACTAGTAAGTTCACGCTATAACTGGTGACTGCAAATATGACCAACTATACATAACAGAGGGAATGTGTAGTAAAACTGTAAATGTGCAACAAAAATCCTTTAAAATTATACAACTTGAGCATATAAATTCTGGTATTGAATATCTTTTTTTAAAATACCCCCATACAAAATATAAATGTATTGAACTATTTTTAAACTGCTTTACAGGAAATTAGGTTGAATTAAGAAAATATAGCTGGACAATGTACTACAGTTTAAATACACTACAATTACCAGTTGTTATAAATTCAATGCCTCTCTATATTTCACATTACAACCCTTGTTTCTTAAATGATTACTCAAGTATAAGGAATGTTTTATACAAATATAAAAAAACTCAAATCTGATTAAAGAGTCACAAAACTTTTAATTGTTTTCAAAACATTAGTACAATAGGGGGAAATGCTCAACAATACATGTTTAAAGCCACTGTGTAGATACATACCCTGGGTATATATGTTACATGTTTAAAGCCACTGTGTAGATACATACCCTGGGTATATATGTTACATGTTTAAAGCCACTGTGTAGATACATACCCTGGGTATATATGTTACATGTTTAAAGCCACTGTGTAGATACATACCCTGGGTAAATATGTTACATGTTTAAAGCCACTGTGTAGATACATACCCTGGGTATATGTCACAGACATGGGAACGCAATGGCACCTCAAGAACATTACCCTGGCAACAAAAATTCAATAGGAACACAAGTTACCATGGTAACCAAAGGAATACAAAATAACAAGATCAATGAGCACAAGACAAAAAAAATAACATGTTAAACAATAACAATCTTCACACTCTGGCAGCAGCAGCAGTACTACATTCAGTAATAAATGCCCATCCACAGCAGTAAGAACTTCTCTTTGTCAATTTAACAGCATCATATTGAAACAGTTGGTTGAAATTTTCACCGTTTCCTTTTTTTTTGCACAATTACTGGTTCAGAATTTTCCAGTTTACCGAATGTACCTGGTATGTATAGCCAGATATAACCAGTTTCTCTTCATTAGCAATCAATTTAAACAGTCATTGTTGATGCGTAAAATAACAACTTTCAGTTAAATGTTCATGGCAGAGAAAATCAACTGACTTATAAATCCACAAAATCAATGTTTAACATTTAAATCACCAGTGCAATCAAATTTAATTCATATCTATATGTAATACACATAAATCTTCTAATACTTCGTTCTTAAAATCCTCTACAACATCGGGATAAGCACCAGTCCTTAGAGATTGGTCACCTTACCCGGTAATATGGTACATGTACATATGTATACCTTATGCTAATACTGTACTTCATTAACATACAAAAGCATGTTATTGATTATTATTTTAAATAGCCCTGAGCTAAATCAAATCTGATTTGTTACATTGATTCATATATTTCGGATTATTAAGCAAGAAGTAGATCAGCACACAATGATAGATTTGTTTATACCGGTAATAATGCCAATTAGCCTGCACTGGCAAACACGATTTGCAATTTATCCGATTTATTTTAATTTTCAGAAAGATTTCTAATGATTATATTGAATACAGAGTAACTGTCCTACAGCTTGAATCTGTGTATTGTATCTTACAACCCTGACTATATACACCTGTTAACCATTACAAACAAGCAGATACTGGGAAACAATCACAGATAGATAATTGGGACATACACCTTGTTTCACTACTACAGTAAGTGAAGATATTTTCACATCATTTAAAGAGACAATTTAAAAAGAAGATAAATGATTTCTGAAAATTCTTCAAAAATATATATTTTTATCTGAAATCAGCAAGCATAAAATTGATATAACTTTGTGCCATCCATTGAAACTCCAACTACTTCGAACGGAACACAGTAGTGCAGTGGACCACATACACGTTCACAATCCAATCATAAATACAGAAATATAAATACGTAATTACAAAACATGAAATTTAAGCAACAATTTGTTTGTTGTATTGTTATCCCTTGAAAAATCAACTCGATTGATTTTTATTTTACATTGTATATTGAATTGGATTCATAAGAACTACAGAACTGGTGTAAATCAATAGAGGTATTCTGATAGGAATTTGGTAATGCGTAGATTTGAACCTTGACCTGCTGTTCTTTGGTGATTAATATGCTTTTTTCGCATCCAGCTTCAGTCCAAGAAATGTGATTTATTTTTATGTAAATATAAATTATCTAGCTTATTGAAAATCAGGTCATAATGAAAACGGAAAAGGCTTGTAGTTTTTATCCTTGGTATATATGAATTTAGCAACTCTAGGCCTTTCCATAATGCTTTGTAAAATAGCGGCTGTAAGTCTCCTCAGAAGTTGTTTTCCTAACAAAAACAGTTGAAAGAGGGTTATGAGACCCTTCTTATTGAGCTAACTTTGTGGAGTTGAGGCCTTGCAGTTTATCCTCTATGTTTAGATCTTGTCAATGAAATTCCAGCTTAATACTGACATGTTTTTTACTTAGTTGTAAACCAAAAGAAATACTTCTCAATCTTACAGCAGGTTAGTAAAACTGGTTAAAAGTTGGTAAAAATTGTTTTTAAACCTAAAAAAAATTATCCATAAAAAAAGAAGTTATGGATTTCTAATATAGTTTGATTTCTTCATCTATATTAAGCCTAAAACCAAAAAAAAAGAGCGATTCTTCTAAAAGTTGCAAACATTTCACATTTAAACAAGACAAGATATATCACAGAATAGCTTCCTGGCTATCAATGCTCCTTCGTGAAGGCGCTGAACACCTCGTTAAGTTGCTGGGTGACTCGTATAAATGTTGTCCTCCGACTCAACTCCTTCAGCTTACCGGCACCAACATATGTACAAGTGGACCTCACACCCCCTAGGATGTCCAAGATGGTATATTCCACATCACCCCTATACTCGATTTGGACAGTCTTCCCTTCAGAAGCCCTAGAAATAGAAAATAAACACATAAGGTGAAGTCTACCTTCAAAATCTTCAAAAATTTCAGATTATTTATGCTAAATGGCTTCCTTGAATGTATATATAAACTGTACAGCTTCCATGAGTGATGCGTGTATACTTCAATTGCATTTGTCATTAAGAAAGCATTCATATATTATGTATTCAGGCCTGCACAACCTTTTTCTGGGGAAGAAAGACCTTATTCGACCTTTCACCTTGAAGTAAAGGTCACATTAACTAATCATATCAAGCTGCATACATTCAGTGGGTAATACATGTACATTTTAAATTTCAATTTGGTTTAACAATTATAGCCAGGCCACATGTGTTTAAGGTTGGGAGTACCTGTACTCTGCCACGCCTCCAGCATGTTTCTTCATGGCAGTGGCAGAGCTCATGCCATAAAAAAGTTTAAATTTCTTTCCATTCTTTTCCACGATTTCTCCGCCAGATTCTGTGTGCCCCGCAAACATGCCGCCCAACATGACAAAGTCAGCTCCAGCTCCAAAGGCCTTGGAAACGTCTCCTGGACATGTACAACCACCGTCCTACAAACACACGTTAACACCAAGGGAACATTAGCAACAGAATTATTTGAAAATAACACTAGGTCAAAAATATATATTGTATTTGAGTAAAAACCATGCTATCATGGTAAATACAGAGAATACTTATTCCCACAGAGAGATCGCTCATCCATCCGTGATTATAATTTTAACATTGACAAAGACCTCTCAAAGCTGAACATTTGAAATTTTTCTTCACATAAAGAACTGTTGACATGTAGAATAGTCCTCCAGGAGGTGTTCGAGTCACCACCAGACATTTTAAAGGCAAAACAATCTGTCAAGTCAGAATAAATCTTGTATGTTAGCTAAGTTTGTTGAAATCTTAATACTTTACGATAATTGCACTGGGCAAAAGGCTTTGCTAAGATTTTATTTATTTAAAGGAAACAGGCTTCATCTAGGTCAATATGAACTATATTTAATGAAAAAACTTATAAAGTTACTTTTCATCGCATGCATGGCATATGGATATAAATTTTCAAAAAAATGACCAGTAAAAGCCAGGGTAAAAAAATCATGACATTGTTCTTTGCTTTAGTTTCATGATGTCATGGGATAGTTTCTTGCGATGCCACAATGGGAGATGCTATGTGTAACATATAATATTTATACATGTAGATAGCTTCAGAAAATGATGACTTTTCATCTTTTTTATATGTTCAACCATCCTTACAGAGATAATATGTCCGCCGAGTCCATGTGCAGCGTCAGCACATTCTATGACTGCACTGAGCTGTGGGTAACCAACACCGGTCTTCTTACGGGTCGTACATACACTTCCCGGGCCAATGCCGACCTTGATGATGTCGGCTCCAGACAAGATTAACTCCTCAACCATCTCACCTGTCACAACGTTTCCAGCCTAAATTCAGGTCAAAGGTCACAAGGTTAAAGAAATGAAGTAGTCATAGAAGTTTTAATCCCTAACGCTTGTTGGAACAGATAGTAATGTTGTTTTTATAAATGATTTTCTCTTGCCTTATATTTGATCATGATTAAACAAATGTATTTTCCTACTTCATTATGTGCAGGAAGATATTCACAATATGTACATGAAGTTGAAAATCGTTGTGATCAATAAAGAAAACATCAGTAATTATTGGTTTATTGATACATTTTGCAAGTTTTTAATATCAACTGTCAAACTGTTCAAAACAGATACCAAATAAGAGTCTAGAGAGAAAAATAACCAGAGAATAGATTGGCCATGTAGTAAGTTTGAACTTAAGTCATTTATGAACAGCCTTGATAATAGAGTTACCATAATTGTGTGCTTTGGGAACCTTTTCCTGACATCTCTGACGAACTGGACAAAATGTTCCGAGTAACCGTTGGCGACATCGACACAAATGTATTTGATGGCAGGAACACCCTCGAGTATCTCACAAATCTTCTGTAGGTCTCCTTCTCCAGTCCCTGTGCTCACCGCAACATGCTAGTGATGTCAGAAAATATAGAAATGATATCATTTCTCTCATATTTAGATAACAAGAGGTCCATTGGACCTGTATCGCTCACCAGGTTGCATATGTCATTAAAACTGAATGCATTAGTACATCTTTATAAGAAATTTCCACAAAACCAGACAAGATCTATGTTCTAACCGAACTGGGACCAGAATATCTGACTTTCAACTAATCAGGGGCCTCCATTGAGTTGCCATGTTAACAGATTTTGAAATAAGTAATATGTCATATTACAGGGTGTATTTAGACAATACTTTAATTTTCAACTATAAGCTTTTATAAACCTTGATCCAATTTTTAACAATTTATGAAAACTACACCATAGAATATGATCACGTAGCTGTACCAGGGGTCAAATCAACCTCATTCAATTAAGAAATGTTTGTTCTTCCTCAATAATGTTTTTTATCAAATTTTGCACAATCCACTCAGGCAATTAGGGGGTATTAGCGTCTTAAGGTAAAATATTAGATAATTTTCCTCTTTTGGCACCGGTCTTCCTAGTCCAAGGGGTCGAAACAGCCTCATTTATTTAGAAAATGATGGCCCACCCCCATTGAAGTTTCAGTGCAAATTTGGTTAAAATCGACTGGTTTTTAGGAGGAGATGCGCTTTAAAGCAAAATTTAACTAAGTTTCCTTTCAGGGCCCAGCCCCCCTGACCACAGGGGTCGAACCAACCTCATTTATTTAAGAAATGATTGCTCTCTCCTACTGATGCTTCAGACTTAATTTTCCCCTTTGGGGCCCGGCCTTCCTAGCCCCAGGGGTTGAACCAGCCTAATTTGTTTCGGAAATGATTGCCCTCCCCCAATGAAATTTCAGAGCAAATTTGGTTGAAATCGTCCCTGTGGTTGAGGAGCAGATGAGATTTAATGCAAAATTTTAGCTAAGTTCTCCTTCAGGGCCTTGCCCCCCTGGCCTCAGGGGTCGAACCAACCTCATTTATTTAAGAAATGATTGTCCTCCCCCAATGAAGTTTCAGAGCAAATTTGGTTAAAATCGTCTCCGGCGTTAAGGANAACCAACCTCATTTATTTAAGAAATGATTGCCCTCCCCTAGTGATGATTCAGACTGAATTTGGTTGAAATTGTCACGGACAACGGACGAAGGACGACGGACGCTGTGCCACGGCATAAGCTCACTATGTTCCTTCGGACCAGGTGAGCTTATCATATAAACAGGCTCCATTAATTTCAATTTCAATAAATTCCTCCGCTTATTATTTTAATAACTATTAATTCATGTAACATATCAAAAACTTTAATTTGTGATTTAGATACCACTATTTGGTAGTTAAGTCATGGGCTTTTCAAAGAAATTATCTTTTTCATGCACTAAACACTTCTTTAGTCTACTTTGAAAACTCAGTTCATTTCTTTAAAGCATTTTGATAGTTTATCATGAATGTATTGTAGCCTCAATCTAAACATATATTTGCTTCACATCATTCTAAGTATCCAAGCATGCATTATGTTGAAATTTTCCCCCAGACACTCTTGTTTATAATCTCTGTAAAACAGGTTTACCATTAAGCAGTGAAATATATCTACCACAAACAAGATTTAATATATACAAAAATGTTTATAACAATATCCAATTTGTGTCTCCAGCCAATGAACAATAAAGTTTAATTTGAACAATTGCTGATTGTAATGGGAGCAATGTTATATTAGCACTACCCCCAATGCCGCAAATGATGCTAATGGAATTCGTAATACCATTATACACCTACATAATAAATTCTAAATTTGAGTGAAATCAACAAATATCTTAATTTCCACCAATCAGAGGATGTGACGGCCATGATGGATGGCAGATCAAAAACCAAAAGTAATTTACACACCACCTTCTATTCACAAACACCGAGGTAAAGTTCCGTCACCCTTCTTTGTTTTTGAGAGGTCTTAATCACATGTATAGAAAATATTGTGAGCTAATGATATTAACATTACACAGTCTCTACCATAAGTACCTGTATAATATCTTTAGCTTCCTCAGCAAACTGCTTCCAGGCGTCCACAGAGTAGTGCTTGTGTATGCATGTGAACATGGCATGCTGTGATAACAATAAACATTAAAATGCTAGCTCTCTTCATACATGTTGATGTATATATATGTTACTTAAAAATTGGCACACCCCTGCAGGTGGGGGATCGGGAAAGAATACACCTGTTACCCACTGCATGTATCGTAGGAGGCAACTAATGTGGGAACACCCTGCAGGAATGGGGATTGCTTTGATGACCTCTTTTTGGGGACACAAAAGCGTCCAAATTAAATCTGCTGCACCCATTGCAGTATTTGGGATCTTTATTTCCCTTTCTATTTCTAACTACCTTTTATTTTCTAGCGCCTTGCTTGGCAACACCTCACTTTTGGACTTAATGTTGAGCATTCGCCCAGGTGAGGAAGGCAATGGGTTCTGTCCCCAAGCCGGGACATACAACATACTCTGTCTCCTGCATACACTTCACACATGGAGGCACGTCCTTAAATGACCTTATATTTTAGCTGTTAATAGGACGTCAAACAAAACTAAACCAAACCAGCTTAAAAATTGGCAAATTGTACATCAAACCACTATAATATAGTTAATTTACTTTTAAGTGCTTAAACATGTTTTTTTCTTCTTTTTTCTGGTGCAGCTATAATCTTTCAATAGACAATATTTTTTACAAGTTGCATATATATCAGCTAGGTAGACCTATCATGATAACTAGGATTGTAAGTAACATGTAAAACTGCTTGTTAAATCAATTTTGATAAAAAAAATAAGCTCATCTCATTTATGATAATGATGACAAATGAAGACCTGTAGGTACATAAGCACTGATATCCATCCAATGAAATCTTTCCCCTAATGTTTTGTATACCTTGCCCATAGCCTTGGCCATCTCAAACGTCCCTGTGGTGTCCATGTTGGCCACCATGACGGGAATCCCATAGTAGTTCTGACCGGAGTTTCTGAAGCTGAAGTTACGAGTCAGATCAACCTACAAAAGTATTGGGGAAAACATTTTAAAATCTTCAAAATTTACCAAATGTGTAATAAATAATAGCCTGATATATATGTAAACATTATAATCTATCAAATGTATGCCTTATATATATACCAATCCCACAATCTACAAACATGACAGTATATTATATAAATCTTACACCCTTCTAAATTTCACCAAATTAGGTAATTAAATATAAGATGTCATCTTGAAAATGGTAAAATACAGCTTGAATTCTCCTATCCTGAAATAGACGAATTGGAAGCTTTAAACAAGAGGTTTCATTGGGTTACTAAGTTACATGAGTTTAATTAACTTATTAAATGACATACAACAGACATGGTAACAAAAGTAAAGTCCTTGAGAAATTGACATGTCCTCTCTAGACGATTTGATACACTGTACTATAATTACAACGTACATGTAAAAACACATGTAAGCATTCTTACATCAAGATTGACATGTCCTCTCTAGACGATTTGATACACTGTACTATAATAACAATGTAACAACACATGTAAGCATTCTTCCATTAAGATTGATATGTCCTCTCTAGACGATTTGATACACAGTACTATAATTACATAAAAAGACATGTAAGCATCCTCCCATCAAGATTGACATGTCCTCTCTAGACCATCTGATACACTGTACTATAATTACGATGTAAAAACACATGTAAGCATTCTTACATCAAGATTGTCATGTCCTCTCTAGACGATTTGATACACTGTACTATAATTACATAAAAAGACATGTAAGCATCCTACCATCAAGATTGACATGTCCTCTCTAGACCATCTGATACACTGTACTATAATTACAATGTAAAAACACATGTAAGCATTCTTCCATCAAGATTGACATGTCCTCTCTAGACGATTTGATACACTGTACTATAATTACAATGTAAAAACACATGTAAGCATTCTTCCATCAAGATTGACATGTCCTCTCTAGATCTAGATGATTTGATACACTGTACTATAATTACAATGTAAAAACACATGTAAGCATTCTTCCATTAAGATTGACATGTCCTCTCTAGACTATTTGATACACTACTATAATTACAATGTACATGTAAGCATTCTTCCATCAAGATTGACATGTCCTCTCTAGACGATTTGATACACTGTACTATAATTACAATGTAAAAACACATGTAAACATTCTTCCATCAAGAATGTCTGGACATATTTCATATATAGTCTTCAAATAATTCCTGGGGGAAAAACATTTAACTTATTCAACCATATACAGTAAGTACACTATGCATTTACCATATAAATCTTCAGTTGGTGGTAGAAAGTTCCTGAGAGTCTTAAGCTGAATTGTTTAAGAATAATATATACACTATATATAGTTGATATCACTTAATATGATTGCTTTAATACTGATCATGAGAATCTGTTTCAAAAAATATACAATGTTATTCAATTGCAATTATTGTACGGTATATAAATATATATGTTGAAAGTACATTATATAATCATTAAAATAATGGAGACCAAACTTTCAAAGTGCACCTAGCTACATGAACATGGTACAGGCAAAAAACCGAAGGGGCCCCGACGTCCCATCCTTTATAATTTATGAATACCTGATACATTAGATTCTGTTATGGTTGAGTAAGTAGAAAAACTCTTCATTTTGTTAACACCACTGCATATCATCAGCAATTCAGTACAGCATGCTCAACATCAAATACAAGTGAAAGTGGATTTAACAATCTGTCTTTGGCAAGGTTTGTATATGAGCTTTTTCTTGATAAAAAATAGAGTCTATTATTGTCAGTATTGGGCGATATTGATTCTCCACACAAAGATGAAGGATTATTGAAGGAAGCAAGATACAAATGTAAGTATCCTGAGGTTCAGTGCCAAATTTCTGCACCCATGGGTAGAATGTCTATACCCCCTATACCTACAGGATGGTCCAACTTTCTCGCCTCTCTTACCATGTACACTGCAAGTACAATTTGGTAACGAAATTATGACATTGTAAATACAGACAGAAACTATTACAAATGTACATTGTATACAGTAGTAGATTGTTTAGATATCTTACAAATTAGTAAATTACATAATACAAGAACATCTTCTGAAAGAGCAGAGGAAATCTGATATACCAGGGCAGAGGTATACCTCAAGGACAAAATCTGATATACCAGGGCAGAGGTATACCTCAAGGACAAAATCTGATATACCAGGGCAGAGGTATACCTCAAGGACAATAAAGTATGTTTCGGTGGTAGATCATTATCATCTTCATGACCAGCTGATCATGACCGAAACGAAAGTTCTGGTAAGGATTTAGAAAATTTACATTGTAGTTCCTGAACTGAAAGTTCACCTGTACGTATACATGTGGGAGTTATATTGGTAATTATCTTGCAAGGGTGTCCAATACGGGACATGCATATCTTTCATAGATGCAGGAGAAAATTATAGAATTAAATACTAACATTTATGTGTATGAGGAGGGACAGCACATAACTTTGGAGTAAGAGAGGGTACATACAATCATTCCATAAACAACAATATCCTTAAATCATCCAAAACACTAGGAGCTGCAGATATACAGTGGTCTTTTATATGTCTGGTGGCCCGTTGCAAAAATAACCTTAATATATTAAGGGACAGACAGTACATCAAAATTGCAAGGACAATGTTAGGATTCCAATTTATCTTGGAAATAGGAATGAATCTTAATGTTGATATCTTTTTTTCTTTTAAATGCATATTTAATGTACATGATTTATTTGTTCTAAACAAGATTTTTATTCAGTGAGCAAACATATATATAAAGCAAAGTTTCTAATCTGATTAATTACCGTACATACAACAGAAATTAACATTTACCTCTTATGGAAGTTGATTTTCGTTAATTGAATTTACAAATGCATGTAGAGATCTGATAGGGTCCCCCTACTGTATTTCAGTAGGATTATCACATCCTCCATTCCCTTCAGTAATTACCGGTACATGTGGGTACATACATTCAGCAATAAAAGGTGTTTATGGAGACTTTATCAATGTGATTTCCTGCCATCTCATTTTAGTACTCCCACCAAACTAGCAAAACAAATGAACAAACTCACTAAATGCCAGGGCCTGTATTATTTATTTATTTTTATTTGCTACAAGTCTGCAACTATAAGTTCACTTGCATTGATTAAGATACTTACAAAGGCCTATACGTATACCCAGCTGACTAGTCTGGCTCCAGCCCCTAAGTTTTTTATGGAGATAAGCTAGTACATTTCTCAACTGCATTTTACTACTAGCTTATCTCCCACTAGTTAAGAACTTAGGATCAGAATCTAGAATCAGACATCCAAGTGATCAAATTAAAATTATTAGTTACATCGTATTTTTTTTCTAAATACCGGGTAATTCAATATTCTAAAGACAAGGGCCAGTCTTCCAGCTGGCTAGTGGTTGAATTTAATAAACACAGTAGATCTAGAACTATATACAATATATAATATTTACAATTAGCAGTTTGTTTTCTTCTGGTTCACAGTATGTGCTGTGTTTGTGTACAGATGCACTGGCCGACTTGTACAGAATGATTACAGATGAGAATAGTGTATGTATGTATTATGTATCGTAATTCATCAAATAAGCTCCCTGTGTGCCTTCTCAATACAGGAAAATAACAAATTCAAGATTTCAGATCCTCCATTTTTTCCAAAAATCTCTAAATTTAGTTAAGATTCTGGGCCCGTATTCATGAAACCGTTCTCATACTCTGACAAGCATACATTTTGTTTACTCAATTTTTAGATCTGCTTCAAATCTAATAATACTAATTTTTCATATTTAATAGTCAAATGATTCATGACAATTCATAGGAAATCATGATAGATTATATATATAATTAATCATAGTCAGGAGGTAATATGACTAATCATGAATTAAAATGATTAATTTGAACAAGTCTAGATGCTCAGACAAGAGAGGGGGGCTTGTTAGGTTGAATAAAGGAATGCTCACAGTACTCCCTGACCGCCCTGCAGATGACCCACTGATAATTGTATTGGACAGACACCCAGGCCACTGGTGCTGCCATAACTGGCCCAACTGTGAACAATCTGGCCATAGCAGATACATAGTTATGTAATCTTAGATCAGTTATTGATTTATATTTACATGGAATGCAACAAACTGATGGATGCAGGCATCTGCATGTATATACATGTACAGCTGGCAATTACAATAACATATGTTATAGTTCATACATATATACAGCACAGTACAATTACCAGGTAGCTCATCTAAACTGGCTTCTGGGGTTCAGCTCAAACAGAAGCCCACTGGCTGCCAGAGGCTGCCCAGAATCTGAACATGTGATGCAGGGTATAGGTTACTTTCATTGGAAAGGGCAAACTGCTCAATTTTTATTGCAATCCATCATTGGCTGGTCAGCTGGTCACTTTTCGTTATAATACAAATTCTTGTAATTTATAATAAAAATGAGAAGATATACAATAATGTAGATGCATATATGTCTGCCAAAAACCAGCTGACCCAAAATAATTGACCCTAATCCATTCCAACAATTGTATATCACCGTACTTTATGACCAAAAAAACAAATATTGTTTTGCGAGCTAGTACATTTATATAATATGACAAATAAGAATTTTTTTTAAACATATATGTATGTATTCAAGCAATTCGAAAAGCAAAAAACCTTTATAATTATTATTCATTGTAATGTAATAATTTTTATATATGCTAAACTGACAAATAAGCAATATTTTAACTCAGATATGTATAGAGTTCCCCATCTGAGGCCCCACTGATGGTATCACTAACCACTGTATGTGTGTCAGTGTGTATTATCTGTAACACCTCCACATATCAACAAGTAGATATCTACATAATTAATGTACATGTAAGACATACATGTTTAGCAGATGTTTAAGTCAACTAATCACCTACAGTCGCTGTCAATTTAAAAACCAGAAAAACTCTTTGCATGTGTATTGTGTAACCAGAAATTCCATTCAGCTATCAATAAGGTTTAAATATAAGTCTTTGTTGCGATTACATTTCAAGATTTTAGGCAGGTTTTTAATTATCCTGTTTGGTGCAACATGCAATAGATTGACCATTTAATAAAGATCTAGATTTTCAATCTACATATATAAACTATTATGTTCATGTGAGGAATAAAAACCATATCCAACACTTTGTTCATTGCATTCAAGGTGATGGGATTTCAAACTTAATAAAATTGTTTACACATACATATATATATTAATTAACACATGTAGCATACATCATGGGTTATTCACGGCAGCAGATATTCGAAACTAATGTAGTTTAATGACAAACCTCACCAAAGACATTTTGGGTGAACACCTTACATACCGTGTCACCGGAGATCGCTGACGTACATTTGGCATAGTGAATGTAGGGACTGTGATTAGAGTGCTACCAATAGAATAACCACACTTTACACAACAAAGTTCTACAAGCTTTAATACAAAACAATGTAATGGAACGATCACATACTTAACTCCACAAATTTCTACCTACTACTTCAGTTTCTATCTTTGTATATAGTAATACAAGTAAAGTTAATAGATAACAAGAGTAATGTAATCAAACAACTATAAAAGCACTTATTAACATTATTTGTTTATTTTACAACAATTATGAAATACGTTTTTACAACTTATCTTAATCACTCTTGTTTGCCCGGATGAGCACGCCGCCTTGGTGAAAGGCAAGTGCGCTATCCACTGCGCCACCCAACCACCTCATAAAAACATTTGACCTATAAGGATCCCTATCCCACTGCAGACAAAACCCTAAATAATTCAAATTCAGTTTTTTATACATAAACTTAAAGAAACCTCCCATTACTTTTGTTCAAACTACCACTGTAGTGGGACCAGGACACTGATTAGTAGTTCCGTTGGTTATTAAAGCAACTATATTGTGATGGGAGGTACCGGTTTCTTATCTGGTTTGGCCTCATTTAATTTTTCAAGACTATCCCTGTTATGGTATTATTTGATTTAAGGGCTTTAATGACCAGTAAATCTTTGAAAGTATGTTTTTGACTCCCTTCAAATGATCTTTGACTCTTGGGTGAACGAAAGGTGTATTTGACATACTAAGGTAATTCATTTTTTGATTTTCCAAAATTCAGCAAAATTTGTATTAGACTTCTTGATCTGACATTTATTAATTGAATTTATCAATGTCACACAAAAGTCTAGTGAATATTATATTTGTTTCAATGTTTACATGGTAATGTTTCATTGCTGCCAATTGAATATACAAAATGTATATATATATATATATAGGTTAACTTACATTATAATCCAAGCTTGAAATGTACATGTTATGTATCTTTTAACATTTATGATGGTAATAACAAGTATGCAACATTATATATGTATTATGCAGTTCCGTTCACACATATTTACAAACATAAATCATAATATATTTATTAATTAATTTGCAGAAGTACATCTTTTGAGCTTGAGTTGAATATTTGAACAAAAACCAATTGCATACATAAGATCATGGACTTAAGATACTAATCTAATTTCGTGATATGATATATTGATTTATGATTTGGACTTTGTTCGTTGTTGTTTGAAGATTTCCAAACGCTGTTAACTTTAACAGTCATTTTGAGATCCCCCCCAACATCAGACATGCACCTGCATTTCAGACAATGTTTCTGTTACGTTAAAAATGTTGTCTTAGTGACTTGCATTATATCGAAGTGATTTAAATTCTACTTACATATATGGTGAAATGCAGGAAGCAAATAATTGGGAAATTAATAATTAACAAAAAAAGGGAAAAAATCCGCATCTCTAAACTTAGTATCCTCCAACGAATTAAAGCTTAGCAAGACCTTCTCATCGGCCCTGCATAGTGATACCAAAGGCAACGATATCGTATTAAATACATCGAACAGGTTCTATCTAGATTTGTTTTTTATTTGTTTTATTTATTAATGTGTTTTTATTTTGTATAGATTTGTGTAGATTGATTGGGTTTTGAATCGGCATTTTCAACCATTAATATTTTTTATCTCAAAACGTTAACAATATCAAATAAATATGCGGTACAATATCTTCCGTAGGTTCAATCATTCCACACACGTCACCGGAGTGAAAACACGTATTTTTACTATTTTTTATGCAATATCTGCCCCAAATCACGTTTGTTCATCATCGCTTTCATTGCACTTATCCATTTTAACCAAAAATGATATGAAATTAACAAAAGTTAAACATGCATTGACGATAAACAAATGACTTGAAACCCACCGACATGGATCGCAGACAGTGTATTGCAAAATACCGGACACGTGTGATTGTTGGCAACCATTTACCTCTGATCTGCTCTTCAGTGTACTTCTTTTTGGTCTGACCAACACATCCTTGAAATCCAATTTGATATCACTGTCGATTCTTGGCATAATGGCAATGTACTAACTTCAGTCAGGTTTGATGACCTTCGTTCGCGCCAAAAGGAAGTAACAACCTTTATTGTCTCCAAACAAGAGAGTTCCAGTAGCGGCTATAGAGGCTCATTACGGGGTTTACACTTTCTTCGTTTTGCTCCAAACGTTTTATGCATAGTTAGACAATGATTAAAACTGTGTATATTTATAAATGGGTATACAACTTTTGTAAAAATTACTGTTTGAAAGGGAATTAATAAAATAAAAAAATAAAAATAAATGATCACGAATTAGACCGTTTTTATTATCTTCTATTAGATCTTCATCTGCAAAAATATATATAAAAAAACTTACATTCCAAAAAAATATGAAATTCCAATATACTCAGTTGTCAAACGCTTTATTTCTTACTGATATTTGCTACATGTAAATTGTTTGCCGCTTTTTTGTTAACATTTATTTGCTTTACTGAAACTTTACAAGACCATGAAAAAAATCGATCGAGTAAAAATTAAGTTCGATCACAGAATTAGATTAGTTATCTAAGTCGGTGGTTCGATCAAGTATATTAACTGCAAATCGTTAGTTCCGACGGTAGTCGACAAAGCAGCAGTAAAGTTTTCGATTATTTGTCAATAATTTCTTAATGATACCATGTAAAGCAAATATAGCATCACTGGTGCCTACACCAGATTTACACCCGAACTGAGTGTCGGTGATGATATTATACCGCTCAGACCATTTTAACAGTATATTGTTCAAAACAGTATGGTAAATAATTTCGAGCAACAGCTCACTAACGTTATTTCTCTGTAGTTATTTGTGTCATTAGCATCACCTTTCTTTTAATCATGGAAAAATGATTCTTAGACCAGCTTGATGGAAATATTCCCCGTTCAAAAATAGAATTCAATAATTTGGAAAGTATAGGGACAAAAACTCTTTTAAATTTTACAAAATGCTCGTTAAGTATATAATCAACACCAGGCGATTTACCCGGTTTAGCACTCTTCAAAACATTAATTACTTCATCATGCGTTATAGGAGAATCTAATTAATCATAAACAACTGAGTTATCTCCGTCCTAACGGTCAATTGATTCATCACCTTTGCATACAACTTTAAATTGTTCAAAAAAAATAATGAGATTTGAGTCAGTTTGTGAAGAGTTTGATTTTCTCTTAAAATACTGGTAAAATAACGTCGGATTACTCCTACGTAACACATTAATACGGTCCCCCTCTGATCTAAAATACTGATAAAATAACGTCGGATTACTCCTTCGTAACACACTAATACGGCCCCCCTTTAATCTAAAATACTGGTAAAATAACGTCGCATTACTCCTACGTAACACATTAATACAGTCCCCCTCTGATCTAAAATACTGATAAAATAACGTCGGATTACTCCTACGTAACATACTAATACGGCCCCCCTTTAATCTAAAATACTGGTGAAATAACGTCGGATTACTCACTACGCAACACACTAATACGGTCCCCTCTGATCTAAAATACTGGAAAAATAACGTCGGATTAGTCACTACGTAACACACTAATACGGTCCCACTCTGATAAAAAATACTGGTAAAATAACGTCGCATTACTCCTACGTAACACATTAATACGCTCCGCCTCTGATCTAAAATACTGATAAAATAACGTCGGATTACTCCTACGTAACACATTAATACGCTCCGCCTCTGATCTAAAATACTGATAAAATAACGTCGGATTACTCCTTCGTAACACACTAATACGGCCCACCCTCTGATCTAAGATACTGGTAAAATAACGTCGGATTTCTCACTACGTAACACACTAATACGGCCCACCCTCTGATATAAAAAGTTTGTGAAGAGTTTGATTTTCTCTTAACATACTGGTAAAATAACGTCGGATTTCTCCTACGTAACACATTAATACGGCCCACCCTCTGTTCTAAAATACTGGTAAAATAACGCCGGATTACTCACTACGTAACACACTAATAAGGTCCCCCTCTGATCTTAAATACTGGTAAAATAACGTCGGATTTCTCCTACGTAACACATTAATACGGCCCACCCTCTGTTCTAAAATACTGGTAAAATAACGCCGGATTACTCACTACGTAACACAATAATACGGTCCCCCTCTGGACTAAAATTCTGGTAAAAAAACGTCGGATTACTCCTACGTAACACACTAATACGGCCCACCCTCTGATATAAAAAGTTTGTGAAGAGTTTGATTTTCTCTTAAAATACTGGTAAAATAACGTCAGATTACTCCTACGTAACACACTAATCCGGCCCCCCTCTGATATAAAATAATGGTAAAATAACGTCGGATTACTCCTTCGTAACACATTAATACGGCCCCCCTCTGATCTAAAATACTGGGAAAATAACGTCGGATTACTCCTACATAACACACTAATACGGTCCCCCTCTGGACTAAAGTACTGGTAAAAAAACGTCGGATTACTCCTACGTAACATACTAATACGGCCCCCCTTTAATCTAAAATACTGGTGAAACAACGTCGGATAACGTAACACACTAATACGGCCACCCTCTGATCTAAAATACTGGGAAAATAACGTCGGATTACTCCTACGTAACACATTAATACAGTCCCCCTCTGATCTAAAATACTGATAAAATAACGGCGGATTACTCCTTCGTAACACACTAATACGGCCCCCCCTCTGATCTAAAATACTGGGAAAATAACGTCGGATTACTCACTACGTAACACACTAATACGGTCCCCCTCTGGACTAAAATACTGGTAAAAAAACGTCGGATTACTCCTACGTAACACACTAATACGGTCCCCCTCTGATCTAAAATACTGGTAAAATAACGTCTGATTACTCCTACGTAACACACTAATACGTAACACACTAATACGGTCCCCCTCTGATCTCAAATACTGGTAAAATAACGTCGGATTACTTCTACGTAACACACTAATACGGTCCCCCTCTGGACTAAAATTCTGGTAAAAAAACGTCGGATTACTCCTACGTAACACATTAATACGGTCCCCCTCTGATCTAAAATTCTGGTAAAATAACGTCGGATTTCTCCTACGTAACATACTAATACGGTCCCCCTCTGATCTAAGACACTGGTAAAAATAACGTCGGATTACTCCTACGTAACACACTTATACGGTCCCCCTCTGATATAAAAAACTGGTAAAATAACGTCGGATTACTCACTACGTAACACATTAATATGGCCCCCCCTCTGAGCTAAAATACTGGTAAAATAACGTCGGATTTCTCACTACGTAACACACTAATACGGTCCCCTCTGATCTAAAATACTGGTAAAATAACGTCGGTTTACTCCTACGTAACACACTAATACGGTCCCCGTTTAATCTAAAATACTGGTAAAATAACGCCGGATTACTCACTACGTAACACACTAATCCGGTCCCCTCTGATCTAAAATACTGGTAAAATAACGACGGATTAATCACTACGTAACACACTAATACGGTCCCCTCTGTTCTAAAATACTGGTAAAATAACGTCGGTTTACTCCTACGTAACACACTAATACGGTCCCGCTCTGATATAAATTAGTGGTAAAATAACGTCGGATTACTCCTACGCAACATACTAATACGGTCCCCCTCTGATCTAAGACACTGGTAAAAATAACGTCGGATTACTCCTACGTAACCCACTTATACGGTCCCCCTCCGATCTAAAATACTGGTAAAATAACGTCAGATTACTCCTACGTAACACACTAATACGTAACACACTAATACGGTCCCCCTCTGGTCTAAAATACTGGTAAAATAACGTCGGATTCCTCCTACGTAACACACTAATACGGCCCGCCCTCTGATATAAAATACTGGTAAAATAACGTCGGATTTCTCACTACGTAACACACTAATACGGTCCCCTCTGTTCTAAAATACTGGTAAAATAACGTCGGTTTACTCCTACGTAACACACTAATACGGTCCCACTCTGATATAAAATACTGGTAAAATAACGTCGGATTACTCACCGGATTACTCCTACGTAACATACTAATACGGCCCCCCTCTGATCTAAAACACTGGTAAAAATAACGTCCGATTACTCCTACGTAACACACTAATACGTAACACACTAATACGGTCCCCCTCTGGTCTAAAATACTGGTAAAATAACGTCGGTTTACTCCTACGTAACACACTAATACGGACCACCCTCTGATCTAAAATACTGGTAAAATATCGCCGGATTGCTCCTACGTAACACACTAATACGGTCCCACTCTGATATAAAATACTGGTAAAATAACGTCGGATTAATCACTACGTAACACACTAATAAGGTCCCCCTCTGATCTTAAATACTGGTAAAATAACGTCGGATTACTCATACGTAACACACTAATACGGTCCCCCTTTGATCTAAAATACTGGTGAAATAACGTCGGATTACTCACTACGTAACACATTAATATGGCCCACCCTCTGATCTAAAATACTGGTAAAATATCGCCGGATTGCTCCTACGTAACACACTAATACGGCCCACCCTCCTAATACGGCCCACCCTCTGATCTAAAATACTGGTACTGATCTAAAATACTGGTAAAATAACGGCGGATTACTCCTACGTAACACACTAATAAGGTCCCCCTCTGATCTTAAATACTGGTAAAATAACGTCGGATTACTTCTACGTAACACACTAATACGGTCCCCCTTTGATCTAAAATACTGGTGAAATAACGTCGGATTACTCACTACGTAACACATTAATATGGCCCACCCTCTGATCTAAAATACTGGTACTGATCTAAAATACTGGTAAAATAACGACGGATTAATCACTACGTAACACACTAATAAGGTCCCCCTCTGATCTTAAATACTGGTAAAATAACGTCGGATTACTCATACGTAACACACTAATACGGACCACCATCTGATCTAAAATACTGGTAAAATAACTTCGGATTACTCCTACGTAACACACTAATACGTAACACACTAATACGGTCCCCCTCTGATCTAAAACACTGGTAGAAATAACGTCGGATTACTCCTACGTAACACACTTATACGGTCCCCCTCT